CACATATTTTTAATTGTCTATCACTTGAATCTTTAGTTGAATCAGTATTTTTTTTGAGACCAGAAATGTTCATTTGAATTCTATATTGTCATGGACTTAATTGACGTCTGTCCTGACACTTTTTATGTTTTGATTTTGTACTGTGTGAAGTAATTACATTGATGAGGATTAGATCTGATAAAAACACAAATTAGAGAAGTAAACTGCGCTTGCTTTTGTCTAAGGGACATTAGCAACAGCATGAATAGAAATTGTGTTAAAGTAGAATCAAAGTGACTTAACCATAGAGAGTAACTATTGCATAACAAGCTGTGTACAGGAACTGTGACACTGCACCATTGACCAGAAGTGCATCGCAAATGACCTGATGTGCTTCGAGTGAAAAGACTGTATCTGGAGATCTGATGTCCATCTGGAGAGACCAAAACCATGGCTTGGACCCTACTGATGTCCAAGATGACATCTCTCTATGACCTGACGACGACTGAGACTCATCCTCAGGGGACCTGAGGATCTGAGGACCTTGGAGAGAAAAACTGGGGAGTGATGTTTATATTATTGAAATCATACATTGATGAGTGCTAAATGAGAGAGATACTCATGATTCTTTCTTTTGTTTTTGTTTGTCCTTAGCTTCTGGACATCTGATGATCTATTGGACACAGCCATTTGCAGAACAAGAACCAGCCAATGAAAAACCATCTATTGCCGATGCTATTGCTACAACCAGAACCACAACTGTGACAAATGCAATGGATGTTAAGTATTCAGACATCAGACAGACAAAACTTTGACTTTTTAGTCTGGGAGACTGAGCAACAGTTAAAATGTTTTAAAATGATAAAGTATGAGTATTGTAGTGTTTTAATAGTAGTAAAAAAGTAGAATTGTCCTTCCTTTGTTGTTCATAAACACATTTCCACATAAGAGTTAAAATAATACCATACAATGTTATCTCTGATAGAGCAGCTAGAATATTAGAATCAGAGTTATTTTAGAGATATTAGAAGTTACAAACTAGGAATATGCCTTGGCTCAAGCTACAGCCGAGCTTTAGAGTCACAATAGAGTAAAAATAGGAATAGATAAATGCATCAACCATAGATGCTTTCAAAAATAGAGAATATTTCTAGCCATTGGTAATATCAAATGGTAAAGGGACCATTCCACAAACCTTTGCTTCAAAAGTAGATAAAGTTACTTACAGTTTTAAGGAAAGTAAACCACAGAATAGAGAGATTTGTTGGATTGAAATGTATGATTGAGAATGTGGCTCAATGGAAGCAAATATGCAAACATATTTGTAGGTGGATTGGAATAGTTTTAAACTATAGTGAATAGTAAAAGTAAAGTACACAGTGTAAGATTGAATAGTGAAAATAATACAGTGAAATAAGTGAAGTGTGAACAATTAGCATTAGAATAAAAGTATAGAGTAAGAAAAGTGAAATTAGCTTCAAATTTGAGACTCAGCTCGTTTTTGTCTGTGTTTTGACTGAATCTGCTGAGTTCTTGTGTGTCCAATAGAGTTTGTTTTTGTTTGTTTTTATTTTTGATTTAAATATTGATTTGTGATCACATGTGTATGTGATCAAGAGAGGGACTGTGAATATTTAATTATTTTCTGCCTGCTAAAATGTCATGTTAAACAGAGTTCACTTGTACTTTGACCTGCTTACAAAAGCATGGAAACAGATAAGACAGAGCAAACAGTTAACATGTGCCGTATGGATAATGTTGTCGCGTGTACATTGGAGTTTGGTCCATTACATAAACATGCTTATATCACAATTATGACATCTTCGGCCAACTCAACTGAACATTGACCATACGCTTGCTTCTCACATAGTCATGCTTCTCAGAATCTATGCTTACATAATCATTTACAATGTATATAAGGGGTTAGCTTTTGCCTGTACTAGTAGACTTCTGCCGGCCAGACAGGATGGGAGGCTGCGTTATGCTTGATCAGAATACGCTCAAACCTTCTGACAATAAAGACTTTATTTTGCACTTTTGTCGAAGCCTCTATTTGTCTTATGTCTGGGTATATTCACACTACACAGAAAAAAGTCCCATAGAACTAAACTAAAACAGCTCGACCTCAGCTGACAGAGAACCTACAGCTTTCATAAAGATCGGATTTTGTGGGGACTTAGTGTCCCTTGTAATCCTGAACTTTTTTTCTTCTTAAATCCTTCGGTTTTCTTTAAATCCACACTTTACTGCCACAAACTCTGCTCCTTTCCTTCCCGCTCTGACTCTGCTCTGATAATGCTCTGATCAGCAGCTTTGATTGGTCTGAGCGCTGCGCGCAGTCGAGCCCCTCTGTGCGCGTGCACGAGAGCCACACACGCGTATTTGGCGTAACGCATCATGGGAGTTCATCCACTGCGCAGAACCGGGAGGACCAGAGGATGCCCAAATATGGGCGAGTTCTGCTGCTCTCCCGGTCTCCGTGAAGTCCCATGCGCTACTGAACACAAGCCATTCATTTGAATAGTGCGCCATATTGGATCACCGGGGCTTGGTTGAGCCAAATACGCGTGTGTGGCTCTCATGCATGTGCACAGAGGGGCTCGGCCGCGTTTTGACGCCTTCATTGCTTTATACTTTACTCTTGTATAAAGCAATAAAGCTCTTGTATAATTGTGGAGTTTGTACTGCTTTGGTTCTATTGTTTTTGAGTTCTTATGTGCAGCACTTCTTGAATGTTCTATATGAATAAAGTGGATTAATTTAGAACAGAATGAAAACTACTAAGAAAAAACTATTACTTTGGCTTTAAATTTGGTTTCTTAATAACCTGTCTCTTGTAAAGCATCTTTGCATGTCCCATAAATGTTGTTTTGTTATAATTATGTCATATTATTTTCTTTAATGATCTGATTATATTTTTCTTGATGCATTATTTGTACTTATTAAGCATGATCTTTCATATACAACCCTCCTGCTTGGTTGGATTGCAAACTTGCAGCGTATTTTTTCATTTCATTTTCAACCCCTTTGTCCATTTCTGGGTCGGGGGGGTGGCAATGAGAGCTGCCACCCAACGCTCATAGCACCAGTCCCTCACTGATCTTCTGCAGGGGGTGAGTCCACAGGAAGATGGCTGCTCCATCAGTTGTGAAACAGCCTTGATCTTTCAGCGGGGGGCTTCAGGCAATGTGGGGTTAAGTGTCTTGCCCAAGGACACAACGACAGCAGTCATCAGTGGGAGCAGTTGGAGTAGGTCCCATGGTGGGAATCGAACTCACGACCTCCAGGCCCAAAGGCCAATGCTCTACCAACTGAGCTACACTTGCAGCGTATTTGAGATTTAATTCATCAGCATTCAGCGTTCATAAAAATGCATATTACTACATACAAGTTGTATTATAATCGGTAATTTACTTGAGAACTTGAGCTCATTGATTCAGCTTCTTTATGAATTCAGGCCGTGAAAAGTGCTGAGTAGAGACTTAGCAGGACGCTCGTTCTCCTCCACTCATGTAATGTTAGTATTTTACACACCTGAATTACAAACAGATTGCATTGCCAAAGCGCAGCGGTCATTATTGGTTTGAGAGTTCTTTTATCAAGAAAAAATGATTGGTAGAACGTTTTGAAAAATACATTCAAATCAATGGAGTGTTCTACTGCTGCTGTGAGGAGCTGTATAATAAATTATAATCAAATATTCAAATATATTCTAATGTTCAAATTTATACATTCGGACGCGAAACTAGAGGTATTCTTTTACTTATATATTGTGTTAGCAGTGAGTTGCTTTTGTACCACTTCATCAGTGATTGTTGTACAGCTTACAAGAAGCTGCGCTAATGCTAATGTATCAGATCGCAAATAAAACTAGATGGCTCCGTGGGATGAGAGCGTAGTGAGCGAGTTGCGGGCGGTGCTAAACATTCAAACCTTGCAGAAACGGGTATAGCGCCTTTAACTTATGATTAATCACATTCATGTCACACTTCCAATAATAACAATTACACATTTGTCCTTGTTCTAAATATCCTTTGATTAGGTTTGAAAAGGGATTGAATGAAACAAAAAGCTTATATTAATCACATCCCCTCCAAAGAGAAAGTATTTGGATTGTCTGATATAGGTTATTGGATTTTATTTGTTTTCATTCAAGTTAGTGAGATATTTTTTTTATAATGTTTATGACCATCACACGCAGTGGAAATAACTATAGCTTCAACATTTGGCCTCTGACCTCCAAATTGTTATAGTTTTTACTGATGGAAGTCTAGTAATCTCCAGAGAGTGTGACTGCTTTTGTTTTCTCCAACTTCTGCTGTACCTTACGTCCCCTTCATTCCACACAGGTCATTTAAAGTGGAAAGGTTTGGAATGTAGTGTGCCAAGAGGCTGTTTTCAGATAAGAAACCAAGTGCCGTCAGCCCAAATTATGACCCAAATGTCTTTTTACAGTCTATGGCAATGACGCAGCTTAATACAAAAGAAGCATGAGCTAATGTTATATTTGGTCATCAGCAATGGACTTTAGCTGCTGTCCTCTGCCCTGTGCTGTCCACTACACTTCTCTACAGACTTAACCGGGACAGGAGCAGCCTCACGTAAAACTCAAAAAATGACACCGGTAAAATGGTAAGTAAGTAATCTTTATTTATATAGCACCTCTCTCAGACCAGAGTCACAAAGCGCTTTATAATAATTATTTTTTTGAGCATTTGTCTCTCACTCCACACAGAGATGGGAGCGAGGTCGCCAGTACAAGAAGCGCATGTCAGATCTATTGTAGATGTTTTTAGTGGTTGGGGAAACGGAGCACCCAGAAGAAACCGGAGCACCCTGAGGAAACCGGAGAATTATTATTGTATTATAGCCATGCTTAGCTGAAGTATAACCTATTGAGCATATTTTAGCAACCAAAAAAAGTTTAAGCAGAGAGAAGAAAATAACAGAACTCGCATCAGTTAACTGTTAAACTATGATCATCTTGTGTCTCATTGCGTATGTCAAAATGAGTGAACATTTCAGTTGTATTGGGCCATAGGGTGGTCGGTCCAGGCAGGCAGGTTGGACAGTTTCTTCTCAGTGTCGCCCTCTATAGGCCACCCCCAGGCTTTGAAAAACCCGCTCAAGTCCATCCCCACAATCTCGGAGAAGGTCACAGCGTAAAGGTTCATCTTCCTGTCTCTGTCTCCGGGAAAGCCACTCATGGTGTGGTAAGCAGCGAACACCTTCTTATGAGCATCCCAGCCAAATTTGTCCTGCAGCTGGAGAATGAAATATAAAAAAAGTGTAAAATTAACCATAACGCTGTATAAGTCATAATAAAGCGCGTCTATAGTTTTAACTCTGCCAACCCCCTGATTCACCTTAATATACTTAGTTATGAATTCAATCCTAATTCAAACGTTTACCAATAATAAAGAAAATAACGACAAATAACAGGTAATTATTCATAAAATTGGTGTTATAAAGTGTTAAAATAATGGTTTATCTGGTAAGGATATGCAAGTGGGAAGATCCCTGTGAGCGTTGACCCGCTCCAGTTTGCTTACAGACAGAACAGGAGTGTGGAGGATGCCATCTCCTTTGCTCTGAACTCTGTCTACAGTCACTTGGACACTAGTAAATCTGTCACGAGAATGCTTTTCATCGATTATAGCTCTGCTTTTAACTGCCTTGTCCCAGGTAAACTGATTGAAAAGCTCATGTCTCTCGGTTTAAGTGTTGCCATGTGTAAATGGATTTTTAGCTTTTTAACTGACAGATCTCAGTGAGTGAAAATCAATGACTGTTTTTCTGATGTTGTTTCTGTGAGCACTGGTTCTCCTCAGGGATGTATTTTGAGTCCTTTGCTTTTTACTTTGTACACTCACGATTGTGTGTCCTCCTCTGACTCAAACTTGATCATCAAATATGCTGATGACACCACCATCATCGGTCTCATCAGTGACAATGATAAATCCTCTTATAGAGCAGAGATACAAAATGTGGTTCAGTGGAGTAAAACTAACAACCTCCAGTTGAACGCATCGAAAACATGTGAACTGGTCTACGACTTCAGTCGCAATAGTTCTCATTTGCCTGTCGTGATCGACAACTCCCAGGTGCAGATCGTAGAGGAGTGCAAGTTTCTGGGTTTAACTCTGTCTAACGACCTGAAATGGGTTAAAAACACTGACCGAGTCGTTTAGAAAGCTCGTCAGCGTCTCTACTTTCTGCGTAAACTTAGAGAATTTACCACTAACTCTAAGATTCTGCTTAACTTTTATCGCTGCACCATTGAGAGTTTACTTGTTGGTTCTGTGTCTGTGTGGTTTGGAAACATCACAGATAAAGAAAAGAGATCTTTAAACAAGGTGCTCCGCTCTGCAAAGAGGACCGTGGGCTGTGAGCTTCCTGTTCTGGAGGTTCTTTATAAATCCAGACTTTTAAACAAAGCTCTTAGGATTGTTAATGACTCTTCTGGCCACCCTGGAAAAGCCATGTTCCAGCTTCTTCCCTCTGGCAGAAGATATCGCTCTCTGAGATGCAGGACATCTCGTTACGCTAACAGTTTTTATCCACAAGCTGTTATCAGTGTGAACAGAGCACTTTAATGATTTGCACTTGTTTTGAAACTGTTTTAGTCGATCAATTTCACAGTGACATTTGTTTACTTACTTAACTTACTGTTCCCAAAACAATCAATAGTTTTCACACGAATTATATTTGTATGTAAAAAATGACATTGCTGGGATTATTTTCTCTGTTGCATGTTTAGATCAGCTTTTTCAGATGGTAAAGTGAGGACCGACCGCACTCAGCCAATCAGCTCTCAGCCCAAATCGTCAAATAGTGACTCACAGGGCTCTTTCATACAAACATGCACCTGAATGTTCTTTTTTCTAATAAGACAAATACGATTTAAACAAGGCTCTCTGTTGAGACAAACATGTGCTATTTATGACAAAACTTAGGTACCCCAGCTTTAATCCTACACAATATACAACTGTGGTATTGAAGGAGTTTGACAGTAGCCCTGTGGTGTGGTGTTATTTGACACAATTCACATAATGATCGCTCAAACCAGACAATACCTGCATGTATGTCTCCAGGGCAGTCCACATATCCCACTCGCTCAACTTCCTTCCATTTTTTGCATAGTTTTCTGCACGACTTTTGCGTCTTCCTGCTTGCATCTGTTCATGGCCCTGCATTGTGAGCCCAATGTTGGTTAAACTGTTTATCATTTAACATTCCTTATATATTCCCCTGTACCTTCTCTCTGGGGAGTTTTAACACTGTGTCGTGCACGTAAACAGACCACAGGTTGCATGTGGCCTCTGTGGTGTGAGGGGGGAACTCCCAGCATCCTCTCTGTTGGTTGTGTCCCAGCTCATGTATTGATCCCCACAGACCTTGGGTGGTTGCATGCTTAACACTGACCATCTCTGCAGCAGGGGCTTTGTGTGCCATGATGGGGTAACCTGCATGCATCCAGCCTGAAAAAAATCATGTTTTAAGTGAATAACCAGAGCAATTATCATTTTATGTTCTGGGGTAAAGTTTAAATTATTTAAATCCAGTGAATTAAAACTATAGATGCTTGAATATGTATAATAGAAGACACAGGGCGACTCCAGGTAAGACTATAAGCAGCAACTTTTTCCAACTTTTGTTTAAAACTCTGGACTATATAGCTATGAGCCAAATTAATGCATTTTTATTGTGCTAGAGTATCTTCTGAGACTGCCACCTTCTGGGACCCTGGGAGCTATGTTGTCTGGGGCTTTATGCCCTGGTAGAGTCTCCCATGGCAAACAGGTGTCAGGTGACGAGTCAGACAAAGCGCAGTCCAAAAACCACCATGGATCGCATTATAACAATATCATCGACGTCGCCTGGCATGGCTCAGCCTGGGCCCCACCCTGGAGCCAGGCTTGGGGCTCGAAAGCGAGCGTCTGGTGGCCGGGCCTTAGCCCACGGAGCCCGGCCGGGCGCAGCCCGAATGGATGACGTGGGCAGACCCTCCTGTGGACCCACCACCCACAGAGGGATCCGTGGTGGTCATGTACTGGGAGGACTGGGCGGCAGCCGAAGGCGGAGACCTCGGCGACCCAGTCCACACACACAACATCTGGCTATTGGGACGTGGAACGTCTCCTCACTGGGTGGGAAAGAGCTGAGCTCGTGGGGAAGGTTGAGAGATACCGACTAGAGATAGTCAGCCTCACCTCCACACACAGCTTGGGCTCTGGAACCCAACTCCTTGAGAGGGGTTGGACGCTCCACTTTTCTGGTGATTCTCGCGGGGAGAGGCGACGAGCGAGGGTGGCCATTCTCACCGGTGAATGAGAGGGTCGCGTCCCTCCGCCTTCGGGTGGGGGACAAGTCTCTCAATGTTGTGACGGCCTACGGGCCTAACAGCAGTGCAGAGTACCCGGCCTTCTTGGAGTCCCTGGGAGGGGTACTGGAAAGTACACAGATCGGGGACTCCGTTATTCTCCTGGGGGACTTCAACGCCCATGTGGGAAATGCCAGTGACACTTGGAGAGGGGTGATCGGGAAGAACGGCCCTCCTGATCTGAACCCGAGCGGTGTTCAGTTGTTGGACTTCTGTGCCAGGCACAGTTTGACCATCACGAACACCATGTTCCACCACAAGGGTGTTCACCAGGACACCCTAGGCCGGAGGTCGATGATCGACTTTCTTGTCGTATCATCTGACCTTCGGCCGCGTTTCTAGGACACTCGAGTGAAGAGAGGGGCGGAGCGGTCAACCGATCATCACCTGGTCGTGAGTTGGATCCGCTGGCAGGGGAGGAAGCCGGTCAGACCTGGCAGACCCAAGCGTGTAGTGAGGGTCTGCTGGGAACATCTCGCTGAGCCCCCTGTCAATCGGACTTTCAACTCACACCTCCGGAAGAGCTTCTCCCAGGTCCCGGTGGAGGAGGGGGACATCGAGTCTGAGTGGACCATGTTCTCCCCTTCTATCACCAATGCGGCGGCTCGTAGCTGTGGTCGCAAGGTCTCTGGTGCTGGTCCCGGCGGCAACCCCTGAACCCGGTGGTGGACACCGGCAGTAAGGGATGATGGTTCGGGGGGACTGCTGAGGCAGCTGTCCAGTACCGGCAGGCCAAGCGTACCGCAGCCCGGGCTGTTGCAGAGGCAAAAACCCGGGACTGGGAGGAGTTGAGAATCTCGAAGAGATTCTGACACACCATGGTGCCTCTGGAGGGGGAAGCAGTTCTTTGCAAACACCGTGTATGGTGCGGGTGGAGAGCTGCTGACCTTGACTGTGGATATTGTCGGGCGGTGGAAGGAATACTTTGAGGTTCTCCTTAATCCCCCTGTCACGTCCTCTGTTCTGGAGGCAGAGGCTGAGGATGTTGGGGCGGACACTTCCATCTCCCTGACTGAGGTCACCAAGGTGGTTGGCAGCCTCCTTGGTGGCAAGGCGCCGGGAGTGGATAAGATAAGATAAGATAGACTTTATTGATCTCAAACAGGAGAAATTTACATGTCACATCTGGCATGGATAGAAACACTCAAAATTGTGCAAAAGAAAGAAATGTGCAAACATGTTAAATGCAGGATATATTATGTACAATAAAAAGTGGCTATTTAAAAGTGGCAATCAAGTAGTGCAGGTTTTTCAGTCCTAATGCAAGTGACTTATTGTACAGTCTGACAGGAGTGGGGATAAAGGCCCTGCGGTAGCGCTACTTCCTACACCAAGGGTGCCTCAGTCTTCCACTGAAGGAGCTCCTCAGCTCCTCTACAGTCCTGTGCAGTGGGTGGGAGGTGTTGTCCATGATGGAGGTGACTTTGACTAGCACCCGCTCTGTGCTGCCCGGGGCCCAGTACACGGCAGCGTAGTGTGTGGTAGAGGCAACCACAGAGTCATAAAAAGTCCTGAGCAGAGGCCTGCTCACTCCGAAGGACCTCAGCCTCCTCAGAAGGAAGAGGCGACTTTGGGCCTTCTTGTACAGGGCATTGGTATTATGAGACCAGTCCAGTTTATTGTTAATGTGAACACCCAGGTACTTGGGACTGATCCCGTCCGGTCCTGCGGATTTCATCTGCTTCAGTCGCTTGAGCTGACTCCTCACCTGGTCTGGTGTGATGGAGTCACCTACGGTCATGAGCTTTGGGTAATGACCAAAAGAACGAGATTGCGGATACAAGCGGTTGAAATGAGCTTCCTCCGCAGGGTGCTGGGCGCTCACTTAGAGATAGGGTGAGGAGCTCAGTCACACGGGAGGAGCTCCGAGTAGGGCCGCTACCAATTGAGGTGGCTCGGGCATCTGTTCCTGATGCCTCCTGAACGCCTCCCTGGGAGGTGTTCTGGGCACGTCCCACCGAGAGGAGACAACAGTGGTCTATCAGCTTTGTTTTGCTCTGCCAGCTGAACATCAGACGTTGCTTAAGTGTTATATTACAACATGAAGTTCTGCAGCATATTTTAACAAAATGCACTTCAAATGACGCTGATGTGCTTCAGATAAAGGTCTCTATTGAAGTTGCAGAACAGCCCTAAACAAACTAAACTTCACCAGTGCATTTTGCAGATACATACTTTGATTAAAATCATTGAAAGGCTGGACTAAACTGTGGGCTGCACCACGATGGTCACATTTACCAAGTTTGTGAATAGAGCTCATAAGAAGAGATCTGAACACCAAAAAAGTTATAACCACTATGTGACTTTTTAGCAAAAAAAAACCTTTGTGTTTTATGGCAATGACAAAAGTATTAAAACATGTGCAATCACAAGTTAAAATTTAGAAATTAGAACAAAAAATTCACTAGAGCTTTATTCACACCATAAGAATATTAATAAGCATCTTCTATTTAAAACCTCCTCTAGAATGGATTTGAACATGTTCTATATAGTTTTTAAAATGGACACTACATTAACTTTTCATATTGTTATTCAGTATCCTGATAAAGCAAGTATCGCCAGGCTCAAATTCTGACAGTGTACAATCTTTAAATCTATGTTGAGAATTTGTGGATTAGACATTTGTGTGTATTACTATTTTTACCATGTGAGATCTGCACTTCACAGACGAATCTCTCTTTCCGTTTAAACTTGTGTGGGATTGCAGCCAAGTCTGCAATGGCCCTCAACATCTTGTCCCAGAGCGCGGCCAGCTCGTCAGGACGCTCCAGAGTCCGGATCACCTCTGAGGGCACCGTCAGAATGATGTTCTCAAACTCCAGCTCTGCCCAGGGAGACGGGGCCGTGCGCAGACGTGACCAATCAGACAGAGAGGTTTCCCCTGAGAAGAGAATAGAGTAATTAAAAGGCAGATTTGGTCGGTTTGACGTTTGGATAAAATGTGTGTCTCAGCAGAACTGGGAATCAAGGCTTAGTTTAAAATCATCCTTCATTGCGTCACAGTAAAGCAGTATTAGTCATGCGTTGCCTTTATTTTTTAATATTAGAGAGTGATAAATAGTTGCGTGAGTGGTAGTAGACCGAGAAGTAGGCAACGTATGGGTGGAGTGATGCCGTGAAGAGAGCGTTCATTGTGAGAGGTATGACAGTGGAGGAAGCAACAGAATTTACCGTAGGGCCCCCTGGCTGAAAGCTAAGGGGTAAGCCAGGGCCACACTGTAAGTAAGTAATCAAAAATAAGAGAAACATTTGGCAAAATGTATCTTCATTTGAGCCAATGGGACAGGCAAAATTATCTTGTTTTGAATGAGAAAATAAAGAGACTGTTCTTGAAATAAGATTAAATGGCTTGTCCCATTAATGGCTGTCCTGAGAGGTCTAGAAATGTGAATGTGGATGAATGAGTGTGTAATCAGAACTCCTTCCTGAAGTCAGCCACCCTCCCAGGAGGAAATGGTTTACGTCTATAGATAGATAGTTTGTTGTGGTGAAAGAAAAAGAAAGAAAAATTTAATTATCTACGGAATGCGTTGTTATAGTCAATGAAAAATACTAAAATACTGCTCACCTGATTTGTAATATGGCACAGGAACACCGACTTGAACAATGACTTCAGCTCCCATCACTTGAGTTTTTGGAGGTGCTATGATGTAAAGTAGGCCTCCCCAAAGGTTGTGCACCAGAACCATCTCTGAAGTGACTGGGAAACTCTCACAGACGCACGGAGCTCTCTTCAACTCGTTAGCATAGAGTTTGTCAGTCTGACATCCTATCTGCACCTAGTCAAAGGAATACAGTAACAGAGGGCATGTAAGACCAGCGTGGACCGGGCCCTCAGTACATAAAGACAAACACACAAAACCCCCCCCCAAAAAATTAAAATATCTAATAACCACATACAGTATTAGTGTATTTAGGCCCATCTCTGTTTTTACTAATGTTAATGAAGGAAATTAGATTAAACTCATACTAACATAGGGTAACAACGAGAACTAGTCAACCAATATGGGCTTTCTGTGGATGATTATTTAAAAGGTTTGACTGGCCAATTTTAAAGGCTGGTTTATTTTTGAAAGACCACACATTTTGTATTTGTCGGCCGAAAAGGTAACGCCAATATATCTGGTGCAAAAGTTGTATATAGCTCACATTTAGCATCTTTGGTAATGTTTTATGTAAATTATGCGGTTGTTTTCATTAAGACATTAGCTTTAAAATAAGTAAATCTCTATCAACAACTAAGGATTCATGTCCAGTCAGAACAAATTGACCATTTTGTGCATAAAACACAAACCTGCATTTCTTTAGACATAATTTCTTACACTTTAATGTCAAACAACAGAAATAAAAAAATAAAGATCATGCAATAAAACACTGTTGGAATATCCTACTATCCTAATACTTGTACATATATAAGTACACAAGTATAATAATAAATATAATAATCATTACAGACTTTGTGATACAAGTCAGCGTAAGGACACTTGGGTTTATATGTAGTGCCATAAAAAACATACAAAGTGAATCCTTACCCTCCATCCCTTCTCGATGATTTCCTTTGGCATGGACAAGTGGCTCTTCATCCCAGGAGACAGATACAGACCTGTACTGATCCACTCCTCTCCCTCTGCAAACAGACATTATATCTCTAACATCTGTGTACCATAATGTTAAGTTTTGAACACATACCTGCGGTGCTGACATTGAGTTTGATGGTGTGGTTATAAACAGCGGGCAGCAGAGGGTTGTCCTTGATCAGGTGTTTCAGCAGCTCCTCTGGATCCGGACACTTTTTGTAAGCCTCTGTACAGAGGCTCAGGAGCAGGTGGTCTTTGGGACTTTTCACCACACACGTTTCAGACACCTTCACACAAGAAAAACAAATTAAACAAAATAGGTGTGGAATTATGACATATATATTATCTTATTATATATTCCAGAATAGTGATTTGTGCATAGTTTGAGTGCTCTTACTTACTGGTATATAGTAGTAATTTTAAGAAATTATATGTAGATTTTTTTTTTTTTGTATGCATGACTTATTCTTATTTTTTCCTTGTATAACTTGTTTGCAGCAAGAGCCAAAGCAGTTTCCTAGTTTGTGACTGCCTGTTACTCTGACGATGACTATTGAAATATTCCCTGTGATAGACGAATACAAGTTTTCTATTACTGTACATAATAAATAATGAGTCATTTTTGTCTTAAAGATGCAGTCAGTGATTTTTTCCAGACACATTTTTTTTAAATATTGTGCAAAAATGTCCCTAAACCCTAAAAGTAGTCAAGTTATCATGTGTTTTCAATTAGTAATGGAATTGACCAGACGCCTATAGTCTCCAAAAATTATCAAAACATATTGGATTGGATTGCATGGGACTGATATAAACAAACCAATGGGATTCGTTCATCCTTAACAAACCAATGGGATGCGTTTACCCCCTTCACCTTCTTCCTGTTTCACCTGAGTTATCGGATTTTCTAAAACCTAAAATGGCTGAACAGAAAATGCCAATTTCACATGTGCCACCCACTCTCCCTGTTGTGACAAAGAAAAGAAAATGCTGGATGTTGGGTTTGGTGGAGAGGCGAGGGGAGCGGGGAGTGGTTTCCAGTTGGTGCTGCGGCTAAGCTAACAAAACATAAAAAGCTAACATAAATACATATATTAAAGATACAGTACATACATAAATAATCATGGAGTATTTCTTGTCAAAACAAAAATATTTATATTAAAGACAGTACATAAGACATATTATCATTGATGCAACAATAATTATAATGCCAAAAAAACTATTTAAATAAATCCAATATAAGTATGTAATGAATAAGTTAGAGAATGTATACTTAATTATGGCTTCTTCATTATGCTAGAGCAAGAGATTTTATATTATTTTATTTTATTTGAGCATAGAACTACTGAGGATTTATCCTGTGTTGTGTGCTCCTCATTCCTACTGTTCTGTAACCAGTGATGCAACATTCCCCAGTGACAAACATTTCCCCACAGTAGGAAAAATGAATAAAGGATCTCTTCATCTTTATCTTAATCTTACCTGTGGAATCCCGGTCTTCTTCAGCATGTCCGTGAACATAACCTGAAGCTGCATGTGCGAACAGCAGCTGTCGTCGGTCAGCTGCAGGTAGCTGGCGCAGTCTCCTCCCAGTTTCTTTAAGTACTTTTCTTCATGTGCAGTGATGTCTTTGTTGTCGGTCACGTGTCGAGCGAAGCGGTACAGGACGTGACGGAAGTGGTAGTTGTCTTTGATGGCCGTGCTGGGGTCCGGAGCTTTGAACACACCTCCTTCAACTATGGCCGACAGCAGCGTGAGGCCCATGGGGTTCAGGAGCTTGTTTCCTTTAAAACAGAAAGCATAAATAAATAAACAATTATTGATTTGTATTAGATTGAAGACGTTTGACTTTGACATGTGACTTGTATATATTTGATTTGTTTGTTTATTTAGACTAGTTAAAATTTTCCATATCTCCAAATTCAGTAAATGCAGATATCCAAATGTCTTCTTTCTTAAACAAGGAACAAAGAATGAAAGCTCACAATATGGTAAGCACAGTAGAGCTCCAACTGGTATTCGAACCCAGAACCTTCTTGCTGAGAAGCGGGAGTGCTATCTACTCGGCCACCGTGCCGCAATAGAATATCATGTTGCTTGAAATGACCCATAACATTAAAACGCATAGAAAAAGACACAATTATTTCAGCCTCTTGAAGATTTCTAAAGCAACTGTAGGATGCAAATTAATGATAAAATTGGCAGAAGACCGAACCAGGAAGACCAAAGCCGGTAGCAAATATGTAGAATTTCTTACTGGAAGACTGGAATATCCACGTGGCCACAACCGGTCATACTAGAATCCTCCCTCAACCACACACCTGTGCTTGACCTGTGCTCACACAGCCATCAGCTCAGCCGGTTAGGCAGCTTTCGCAGCCTTGACATTTATCTGCTGTTCATGCAGCAAACTGCCTCCTCCCCATCATCACGTAATCAGTAGAGGAATCCTTTGTCATCGGCTCAATAAATCATTTAGTATAACATTATACGTCTGCTGAGTCTAATTGACTAATCATGCAGTGACAATAGATCCATGCAGATGTATCTCATTCTTAAATTCTTATGCATTTCAATTAATTTCAGTGTGGTCAATGTGCCCCAGGGCAGCTGTGGCTTCAGTAGTTTATCACCACTGTGTATGGAGTGAATGAATAATGACATGTGAAGCATCACAAACCTGGAAACTCTGCAAGATAATTCTGTCCTGGACGTGACTGGGCCCAGTACCAGGCATGTCCTCCCAACAGCAGCCCTCCGCCTTCAGCCACAAACTCCTGAATCTGAGGAATATGGTCCTCGCCATAGGCTGTGCGCACAAACACACTCAGACCCGACTTAAAACCTGTTTTCTGACAGTTTAGGCCAGACTCGTTCAGAATGTCAAAGCCATTTGTTGCTTCAACACCAACGACCCCCAGTCTCCCCTGATCCAACCATTGGACCACGTTGTTCCAGAAACGAGCCAGATTCTGTGGAACAATAGTGAGAATCATAATGAGTAATTATGAAATCCTTAATTATGTTCTAATAGCAAATACATAGTCATCATTATTTTACAGCTTTTCTACTGTATGAGCTCATTTTATGAAATTCTGGATCTGTCTGGAAACGTTATCTCAGTTTTTGCATAAGGAGGAGATTGATTACTGTATTTACTTTGTGAATAATTACTTCAACAATTGCCTAATTATAAACACTTACATAACATGTTATTGTTATGTTCATATTAAATAAAATAATAAATCAATTAATAATCTATTAACTTGTAGTTAATAGATTAACTAACTTGTAGTTAGCTTTTTAATGTTTCAATGCGATGTGAAGACTGAATGTTGTACTTGCTTTGACAAAGATATATTCAGTAGTAATTTTGGTACAGTAACCATGAACATTTCAAGCTTATAATGCTAAGAGAATATTCTTTTAAGCCTCACCTTATTCCCTAAAGCTCCTTCATGTGACACTACCACTATTCTCCCCTCTCCGTAGTATCCTCCTGCGATCACAGCTTGTCCGTTTGCATTGGCGACGATGGGGAAGGACAGCGACCCGTGAACCAGGGCTTCAGAAAAGGTTCCGCCACTTATGTCAAACTCGGACACTCCTTGTAGCAAAAATCCCAAGTCATCCGTAAAATCCTTACGAAGTCTGGAACAGATTTTTAAGAAATTAAACAATTATAAATAGTAACAGCATATACCATACTTGGGCTAGGCATAGATAACATGAAGGAGGTTACATTTACTGAACTTTCGGATAATATTTACTTTAGGAGGAGACTGTAAATCATTAAGGCGTCCTATTGTTATGCTTGAATATTGGACAAATACAAATAGCATGGTTTAGGGATTATGTGTTGGTAATTAAGGCTGGGGTACCTAACTTTTTATGTTTCCTAATAATATATTATGTTTGTCCCAACAGACTCCTGTAAAAAGTAAATTTTGTGAACAAATCTGACCAGAAACCACAAATTCCAACTTTTGATCATTAGAAAGAGCCCGATAAGATACTTTGGGCTGAGAGATGATTGGTTGAGTGAGGGTGCTGCCTTCTTTATCACTTTTTTTGTAATTTTTTTTTAAATCTAAATATGGGACAGAGGCCAAAATGCATTCATGTGAGCACTAGTGATAGAACATTTTCAGAACTTGGAACTAGTTACATGGTTTTAGTTACATTGTTAATATTTAGTGTGTTTGGAGTTAGGTACCCAGGCAGGTTTAAAAACTTGAGAGGATGAGAATAATATTTAATGGGACTTTATTGATTTGATTTTGGACATTATTTTATTTTATTATCTTATAAACTTTTTTTCAATTCTCAGATACCAAAACAACTGTATCGTGTCACTTACTTGATGGTTCTCCAAGAATGTGGGATATGGGCTTGCACGGACACACACTCTGCCTCTCTGTGGTGCTCGGTGAAGTGTATCCCAGCCACTCCGGATACTTTATTGCCCATGAACTGGAGCAAAACGTTGTCTTTGGGATGCTGTGACGCCCACCACCAGGCCTGTCCCCCCAAGAGCACACCTCCGCCAGATTTCATGAACGCAATCAAGTCTTTCTCACTGCCTTCCACGCTATAGGCATCAGAAACATACACAGAAATGCCCTGGTCGCTGCTAAATCTATCCATAACTTTGACTATATTGGTATCAGAAATATCTTTAGCTACATCTTTCACTGATGCATGTATTCCCACAGACATATTACCAGTCTGATCTCCTCTGAGCCAAAGAAGAACATTTTCCACTAACTTTGGAAATGTATTCAAGTAGGCTTCATGCCCAAACACAACAATACGGCCTGAACCGTAAGTGGAAGCCGCCATGAGGACTTGTCCCTTGCTGTTTGTGGCCAATGGGAAAGCGTGGTCCCCATCTAGATTGAGATGACAGGGGACAGAAGAACCCTTAAGATCCAGCTCCTTTAGGCCTCTCATGATGGAGGCATAGCCCTGTTGCGCGGGTGTGGTTTTAGAGCCAGACATGACTAACTGACATGCAGGAATGGAGTGAGATCTGTAGTTAAACAAAACACATAATAGTTTAGTTAGTCTGTTCAACAAAAAACTGGCAATAGTATTATTTTCATTGAATTACAATGTTATTTTAAGGTTTAATGTACCGATATCAGTCATTAAAAACCACATTGGAATGTAATGTTGAAATTCCTTTCAGAAGCATGCACCATGGGAATGGAATTGATGAACAATCATACAGTTTTCTCTTTTTACGTCATTCTTTTGATCCTTTTTAAGATATGTGAGAAATAGTGATGTTTTTTCACTTTTAATGTATTTCTTTTTGAAGGGATGACCCATATCTTGACGTAATCTTGCACAATATGCCAATAAATATATGTATTCCAGAAAAGAACTATCTATAGTACGTATATAGTATCTATAGTTTAAACATTGTACATGGCTATTTCTGTAGTGTCATCTTCTACATCTACTCCTATTACTACTACTAAATATGTGTAATATTTAAGTACCTTCGTGCAGGTCTCTCAGCTGAGACTGTCCTCTAAAGCTGCTCTCTTCAAACTGAAAGACAAAAACCACCGACAACAAAAACATGAGCTGCCTGAGAACTTGTTAGACCAGTTGAGTGAGGGTCTAAAAAGAGGCGTGGGGAGTAAATTACGAATAAACTCTATGAACGATTTACACAATCGTTTCCTTTAATATGTTAATACATGGTGAAATATTACTAATAAACCCCGTCAACACCAAAGTTTGACTTGGTTTCAGCAAATTAAACTTCGTCTGTTGTCCATTAAAATATCTGATAATTTTAATGGCCTGAAAATTGTTTAATCTCATGAAGAGCCCGAACATAAACACGAACAACATTCACGTCGATAAAAAAGGAGATGTCAATGAATGAAAAGCTATGCAGTCAGATGGCATTTTATTTCCGCTTTGAGTCAAATTCTTACCTTAGATATCGCAATGAAAATCCAAATTATAGACTTGAATTACGTATAAATTTAACAAGCCATTAACAACTCATCTCAGGTGAACGTCGTCAAATGTGAGTTTGCTTAGTCATGTCCATGGATCTAGTCTAGAGTCATCTCATCATTTGGGAGCCAAGTTTGTAGCGGAACCCACGCAGCGGAACTAAAGACAGTTCTGGTTTCCAGTCGGGCTTATTTTGGATGGACCCATTGTGCAAAGCGTGCAAGTCAAGTGCCGAAGTTGTTATTTTCTCCGTAAAGATTAAGTTTTCTTCCGTTTCCTGTTTATCGACATACTAACTCATTATTGATTTGTGATAGCGTTGTTTTGTGATGTCGTGTGCTTTGGTGAGTGCTTCTGGGGTCAGGGTCACGCTTGAAGACGGGAGAGCAGTGATCTTGGGTCGGACTCCAGCCACAGGAGTCACGGATAAGAAATGTTCAAGACAACAGGGTGAGGCTTGGATTTGAGATGCTTTTGATTACTTTTAATAACCTTTTATTTATGCATTTTGAGAGCTGCACAAGACTGAGGTTCATTTAATATCCTTCGCTGACTTTCTTACTTTCATTGCAGTGAAGGCAGTGGCTTGTTTTGCAGAAAAGTCTGTGGTTATTACTCAGGTATGATTCATATAGTTTTTATGATTTTTTTTGTGTCATTAATTATTTGTTTTTGTATTATTGTTTGTTTGAGCAACATAACTATCTTTGAGATTATTGAAATATCTACAAACGTTTTGTAATTCCGAGGTCAATATGCAATTAATCAGGTCAGCTGTAAATCCATAATGATAATTCTATTAATACATTTCCCTTATAGCCTTTTTAATAAACGGTGTAAACTTTTCGTGAAGATCTTATTACCTTTGTACTGTGGAGAAAAGTTACCTCTCTAATCTACATAAAAAAGCAACATCTTACTTTCATATTAGGTCTGTTAAATAAAGTACTCAAAAGCGTTTTGTCAAAGTGTTTGTCAAAATTTTATTTTCAGTTGTCCATTGCAGTCAAAGAGAAAACTAGCCATCCTAAGTTTAACAAAAAACATGTGTATCTTGAATCAGCTGACTTGTATGACTTAAACGTCTTGCAATAACTAACTTGTGCGTTTCTCATTGCGTTTTAGCTCGGGCCCAACCCCAGTTATCTGGAGAAAGAAAAGCTGTCCCGAGGTCAGTCTGGGAAGCTGAGTCATGGAGGAATTCTGTACATGGTGAATCAGGGACACCCATTTAAACTGCATTTCACCATGAACTCCAACGGAACGTCGTCTGCAAAACACACTGGACTAAAAGCAAAAGACAAAACGAAAGGAGTTGAAAAGGAGGCTCACAGTCGACAGCCAAAGAAGAGTTTGAAAGATTTTTTTCCCACGTCACCAATAAAGGTACAATTCTGCACCACCTCCAGAAGAAGAAGTATTACACATTACTTTCTTATAGCATGTTATAGAAATAATAATAGAAAATATTTGGTGAATCACTTATGAAGAGTAAACAATGCTTTGAGGCCTGTCCGATCCTTGTGCTACAAGCACGTCATGCAATTGTAAAGAACATAAGTTATGGGCATTATTTTTGTCCTATCACAGGACACAGAAAATTTTAGACAGAAGTTCCTGATATTAGCGTAGATAAAACATCTCTACGTCTATTTTTGATGACAACGCTGAACGCGGTTTCTCAAGTACGGGGGCATTTATTGTCATTCACAACTGTCATAAATGTATCTTAATGTGGTCAAATCTACAAGACAAATAAAAGATACAATGAAGCACAATTTCTTCTCTCTGGTGCAAAAATGAAAGGATTAAATTAGCTAGCCTGTGGCTGCCTGTCACTTAAGAGCAATATGTGTGTCCTTTAGCTGTGCACAACATGAAATACAATTAAAGAATCATAAATACACAATGCAGCATAACACATATTTAAAAAAGAAACACCTTACCCAGTGGCTTGCTAACTTTCACACTGAGATCTTTGAGTACAAGATGGCGTAATGTCTACCTGAGGGCATTTTATAATCCCAAATTATCATAAAGTCTTTCAATAAGATTTGATTCAATAAACATTTTAAACCATTGTTTAAAGGTGTGACGTCGTACCACTTTCTTCTCGGGAAAACAAAATATATTACTAATATGATATACAATACATTTCAAAACCAAATAAATGGCAAACCAAAATAAACTTTCTTATGAAACTGCATAACAACAACTTTCATTAACAGGGTTGTTACTTGGTTAAAAGTTAAAAAAACGTTTTTTTTTAAGAAAGCAACTTTTTAGACCTCCTGAAATGAATTTGCTTTTTATTTTTTCAGTCTACCAAGAGGTCGCTGAGCCCAGAGAAAGAGCAACCTGAAGTGAAGCGCCTGAAACGGGAAAGGGCTGAGGAAGATGATGAAGACGAGAAGATGGCGGAGGAGAAGCTGATGGAGCTACAGGCACTGGCCGCACGCTCGGCCTCCCATACGGAGAACTCAACCCGAGCTGTGACGGTCTCTTCTGATGCCTGTACCAAGAGCAGCTGGCAACAGATCAGCAATTTAATGGTTTACACTGCAGCGGGAGTCAGAGCTAGTGACAAGGTGTGGACTTCTCCCAAATTCTCCATGAATCATTAGATTGTGATGAGATGTGTTAATGATCCATTGATAGGTATTTGATAGACAAATGGCAAAACTGACCACATCCAGACTTGAACGTTTTCTCCATAAGTTCCTATGAAAAAAATACCAGTAAATCACCTGAACATATATTTCTTTTATTTTTGCTGCTGAACTAGATTGCTGGGTTTGATATAGACGGCTGCATCATCACCACTAAGTCTGGAAAAGTATTCCCCACTGCACCTGATGACTGGAGGTGAGCTTTAACAAGTGGCTGATGTAAAAGGACGTTGCATATGTAGCACCAAAGCCCCGGCGATCCAAGATGGTGCCGTATGCAAATGAATGGCTTGTGCTCAGTGGCGCATGTGCCGCCATGGGCGGAACTCTCCTATAATTGGGCATCGTCTGGTCCTCCCGGAGTTAGAGCGGGTGCCAAACGAGCAGAGTTTGTGGCACTAAAGTGTGGATTTAAAGAAAACCAAAAGATTTCAGAAGAAAAAAGTTCAGAACGACAAGGGACACTGAAATCCCGACAAAATCCGACCTTTATGAAAGCTGTAGATGCTCTGTCAGCTGAGGTCACGCTGTTTTTGTTTACATTGAGTTCAATAGGACTTTATTCTGGGTAGCCCGAGTGAATTTAGACTTGTTTAGTCTGCAGTACTGCAAGAATCCCCCGAGCACATGGGTCCTTCAGCTCCAACCTAGTAATACCCTATCCAGTTATTATAATAGATCCATGGTAGCGCCACACAATGAATCTTGAAATACTTGCAATGTTTTCGGGTTAGAATGGGTGAGATAGGACTGTTTGCGTATGAGATCAATTGCTCCACAATGAAAGTTGTCAGACTGGCTGCCACTGTCTAAACATGTGTTTTTAGGTCTTGGATGTGTACCTTGCTACACCCCACTGACATTATACTCCAGACAAAAACAATAAACCAATATTCTCCCATTGTTTTTTTTCAGAATTCTGTATTCTGAGATCCAGCCCAGACTTGCCAGTTTGCTCAAGAAAGGTTACAAGGTGCAAAAAAATATACAAATTCTAGATTATATTCATGTCACTATTGTCTACTGCTTTTTCTCACTAATATTTAGACATTTTGTGACCCGTATAGGTTGTGTTTTTCACAAACCAAATGGGTATCGCTAAAGGCAAACTGAGGCCAGAGGTGTTCAAGTCTAAAGTGGAGGATATTCTTGCCACATTAAAGCTGCCTGTCCAGGTTTGTCACTAAAGATTTTTTTATTATATACATTTGAATTGACTTTAAATACACAAGTCATTATGAGTAGTCTGCAGTAACCTGTACCTTTTGGAAAATCGCTCATGGAAAGAAGTGTGTGGTCTGACCGGTGCATTTATGTATTGACCACTTGCATGAGACATTCCGGCAACGCCCACTCTCCGTGACATACGGCGGAAGTCCAACTGCGAGCCTATGGAAACCTGACCAAAACAACCTGTTTCAGCAAATTACAGCCAAAACTGTGATACTTTTCAGTGCGGTTGGTTGTACTAACAGGCAAGGACATAAGCCAGATGTGTGGTTTTATCTGATACCTGCTTGTCGTGAAGACATCAGACGACGATGACGGAAAGCAACCAAAAGGACTGGGAGCCGTGTACTCCCTAATATGCAATGAACACTTTTTACAAGATAAATCAATCACAAGTTTGTATTTATTTTCTTTCCATTAATTTATTTGGAGGACAATGATACAAGTCAAACGTGTCTCTTACTAATGTCCTGTATGTGCGCTGCAACATGTTCCCCGCTGTGGCACGAATAAAGATCTATCATCTTATGTCTAATAAGTTGATAGATCGCAGTTGATAGATCACATAGTGAAAAACGCAACTGACTAGACGTCAGTTGCGTTTTTCACTATTTCCCTCTCCCTCAATATGCATCATGTTTGGCTGTGGACAGAAAAGCCACAGACTATTGCCAATCAGCTAAATGTACTTTTAAATCTGCTCCAGTGTGAGGGGATGCGTTGTTAACGACATAATGATAAATATAATGTGGGGTGAATTTGGACAAAATTAGACATTTAATTTAATCGATACTGGGGGGAGAAGGTACGGGTCAACATCCAGTTAGGCAATCCTTAACTTCTCCAAATACCACTCTTTGTGAGCCCTGACCTGATGTCCTACGTCCACCAATAACGTAATCGAACATGTGCTTGAAGCAGCCACTTCTCGATATAGGAGATGAAGCTCAGTTTTAAGACTTGTTGTCCGTTTTGCTCTCGCCGCAATGCTAGTTTCCACTACTTCTGCCGTAAGCTCATGCACAATCACGTGACTGGATGACGTCGATGCATCTGGTCAATAGTGAAAAATTCTATCCATGTTTCAGGTTTTTGTAGCCAGTGGTCCCGGGATTTTTAGGAAGCCAGTAGTCGGAATGTGGACGCATTTGTGTGAGAAGGTCAGACACAACACATCAACACAAACTTAGTCAGAGCATACAGGACTTATATGGTGTTTGTTTCTTCACAGGCAAATGAGGGCGTGTCAGTGGACAAGGTGCAGAGCTTCTATGTCGGAGGTAAGGCTAAAACATATGTTTATACAGTCATTGATTTAATCTGGTGTTTCATTAAATGGGTCATAGAGTAATGTTGATTAAGTACTGTTCCTTGTCAAATAAACTAATACAATAGATGATATTGAGTTACTGGTAATGGTCACGTGGTCAAAATACCACCAAAATACGTGCATCCCTTGAATTTGTCCGTTTCCTTGTGGCCTTTATCCCCACCGCTGTCAGACTGTACAATAAGTCACTTTAAGTCACTTGCACTAGGACTGAAAACCTGCACTACTATTGCCACTGTTTCTTTAATTGCCTGCACAGACTATTTGTTTGCACACTTCTGTCTTTTGCACAATCTTGAGTGATTCTATCTTTGCCCAATGTGACATGTACATTTCTCCTGTGTGAGATCAATAAAGTCTATCTTATCTTGTAGATGCAGCAGGACGACCAGAGAACTGGGCTCCTGGGAAAAAGAAGAAGGACTTCTCCTGCAGTGACAGATTGGTAAGAATGTGTTCTTTGCATTTACAGGGATTTGTTTTTATTCTATTTTTTTCACCAATCTCTAAAAAACAGCTGGACACATGTATTAAACAAACACTTCCTTTTCAGTTTGCCCTGAACCTCGGGCTACAGTTCCACACTCCTGAAGAGTACTTTCTGGGATGGAAGAGCGCCCCCTATAAACTGCCTGAGTTTGACCCCGTAAGACTTTTCTCTTAGATGTTTAGTATGTTCCATTCACATAAACCACTACCACACCACCTCTGTGTAATACCAACAAAAAAAGTTGTGTTTTTTTTATTTGTATTTATATGTATTTTATTATTTTATTTTCATTCATGTTTTTCTTTTCTTTTTATTGTTGTGAATGTTTTTCTTTACTCCTTCAGAGAAAGTTGGACTGTAATGCTCCGCTGTGGGAGCCCTCATCTTCCTCTCTGATCTCAGATAAAACAGAAGTGATCGTCGCTGTGGGTTTCCCTGCATGTAAGCACAATAGTTATTCATTTATTAATAGATCTTCAAGTTTACTTTGGTAATGTACTACTGCTCTAATAGTACTTTAGTATAGTCTGTGCAGTGTGGTGCTTTGTTCTTATAATATAATGTTTGTAAGTATTAACTTTATATGTACAGTCATTTATGATTTATTCATATTTATTCCAAGGACAAAACACACTTCTCTCTCCTCTGATCATTTGACACTTGTGGATTATTAATTTATATTTAGTAATTCAATTCAACGTAGCCCTGAATCACAATCGCAAGAGCAAAAACTTGCATTTGTTCGTCTTTTCCCCACAGCTGGAAAATCCACGTTCTTCCACTCTCACGTGGTTCCAGAGGGTTACGCGTACGTGAACAGGGTGAGTGAGTGTGTGTACGTGGGTAAGCGTGATTCAAACACAGATCTCACCTTCAGTCTGCGCTCAGGACACGCTGGGATCGTGGCAGAGTTGCGTCGCCGCCTGTGAGCGTGCGCTGAGAGATGGACGCAGCGTTGCCGTGGACAACACCAACCCAGACCCAGAGTCCCGCAAACGGTATGACAATCTGCTCTCTGTGTTTAACATTGTTTTTAATGTGTTTTTACTTCCATTTATTACTTTATACTCATTTAATGGTGGAGTTTGTACTGCTTTGGTTCGATTGTTTTTGTGGTCTTATGTGCAGCACGTCTTGAATGTGCTATATTAATAAAGTGGATTGATTTAGATCACTAAGAATAACTATTACTTTAGCTTTAAATTTTGTTTCTTAATGACCTGTCTCTTGTAAAGCATCTTTGCATGTCCCATAAATCTTGTATTGTTATAATTATGCCATTATATATTTTTTAAATTATACATCTGATTTTATTGTTCTTGATGCATTATTTGCACTCAATATGATCTTTCATATACAACCCTCCTGCTTGGTTGTATTGAAAACTTGCAGCCTATTTGAGGTTTAAAGACCACTTTTATAGAACTTTAATAAGGACGTTCATACTTAAACAGCACTATCGTGTGGTGGCGGTGGGAATTACAACACATAATGCTCCGTTCAGACCGTAATGAACAAATGTGACTACAAACATGCACCAAACTAATCTGAAATCATTTTCATCTTTGTTTGTTATGGGAAGTCCTTGTTTTAAGTTTTATTTACTCATTATTTGAACGATTAAAACTGGTTGCATATTGCTCTACCATCTAATTTGAAATAGTTTCGTATCTGCCCATGTGCGTTTCAAATACTGTAATAAATGTTCACTAATAGTAATGCGGTTTTGTTCTTTCTCTTTATGCGGTGAAATTGTAGCTATCTGGACGTGGCTAAAGCTGCAGGAGTGCCGTGTCGCTGCTTCCAGTTCACCGCGAGTTTAGAACAAGCCAAACACAACAACAGGGTACGATATTTTGATATCAATGTATTCTTGTTTGTGAATAAGAACTTAATACAAACAAGATTACTCAAGACTTTGTTTAAATGGGCTAAATTCCATGTCCATTGCTCTATATGTTCTCTCTTAATTCATATTATCTGAGCTTCATAAACTATTGCACTAATCATAAAGCCATAGAAAACAACACGTATGTTCAGAATTTGAGAGAGAGAGAGCAGGGAGACCACAGAGAGAGACCACAGAGAGAGACCACAGAGAGAGACCACAGAGAGAGACCACAGAGAGAGACCACAGAGAGAGACCACAGAGAGAGACCACAGAGAGAGACCACAGAGAGAGACCACAGAGAGAGACCACAGAGAGAGACCACAGAGAGAGACCACAGAGAGAGACCACAGAGAGAGACCACAGAGAGAGACCACAGAGAGAGACCACAGAGAGAGACCACAGAGAGAGACCAGAGCGAGAGACCAGAGCGAGAGACCAGAGCGAGAGACCAGAGCGAGAGACCAGAGCGAGAGACCAGAGCGAGAGACCAGAGCGAGAGACCAGAGCGAGAGACCAGAGCGAGAGACCAGAGCGAGAGACCAGAGCGAGGATCAATGACTGTGATCACTGCTTCTAAAGACTTTTTTTGTTGTTACAGTTTCGAGAAATTGCTCCATCAGAAACCAAACACGCCAAAGTCAACGACATGATTTTCCACAGCTACAAGTACGAACATTCAGTCATACTAATAGTTATTTTAACATACATTTAATCAGAATCAGAATCACTTTTATTGCCATGTTAGTAACAGGAAGTCAACCATTTGTTGTTAGGAATGTCAAGATTATATAGCTAATGGATTGTGATTTTTGAGTCTATATAATCAATAAGAACAGTTATTAAGGATATATTTACATTTTTCTTGCTTCCTATTGAACTATTGCAAATAGATTTCCAGTAATTTTTTCTATTTGGTGACAGAATAAAGCCATTTTTCAGCCCAGATTTATTATTTTCTAATTGTAAGTTAGAGATTTGTCGTTGACTATTACTCATTCCTTGTCTTCATTTGTTTTTCTTGTATCTTTAATTTGACAGAAAACACTTTGTGGCGCCAACGCTTTCAGAAGGATTTAGTGAAATATTGAAGGTTCACTTTGTGCCAAACTTCAAAGACCCAGAGTCAGAAGCGCTTTTCAGAATGTTCTCTGAAGGATGATCTTGGACAAAAAAATCTAAAGAATCAAAATAATAAATGTTCTATGAATGTTGTTTGTGACCAAGTGGTGAAATAAAAAAGAAAAAGTCACTTCTGTCGCCTTAGTTTTACTTAATTTTGTGGAATCCCTGTTATTAAGGTCTCAATATTTCTGTTATTTTAAAAAATTCTAACTCACATTTGTCTTGTATTGATCAAGGGTTGACAATCATAAGTTGTCTTTATACGGTAGGTCAAATGAATGAGCTTATCTTAATTTTATTAGAAAACATTGAATTAATCTCATAAGAAATACTCACTATTTGACACTTTCAGAGATCTTTAAGAGAAACAAGTTAGAAGGATTTTAGCTTTATTATTTTACGCGGATGCAGTTTTCATCTTTGCATGTCAGATTATAAAAACAAATAGACCGTTTCCACAGTGACAAAAAAACCATTTCTTGAATTGGAGAAAGGTCAGTGAAAAAGAGAGGCCCCCCCCTCAACCAATCAGCAGCACTTACTGTGTAAAAGATCATAGCTTAAAATGTTTTCACAAAATGTTACTTAAACAGGACTTTCTGTTGGGACAAAAATATGTTAAAACAAAAGTTACATTAATCTAATTCACTTGTTCCCAGCTGTAGCCTAGAACATTCTCATGTACTCTGCACTCTTTACTTTTTTTAAATTAGTTTTTGAGAGCCTGATACTACATGCTTTTAAGGCTGCTTAGTTCCTCTGTTTTGGGGCTTGAAAATCAGCTACCCCAACTCAGGTACCCCAACTTTAAAAACCCTAATACTATTGTGTAAGTATCCTTCTCCTTACACAGACAAATATTGAATGAATGATACCTTGTTTACCTATGTTTTTTGTGGCAGGGGAAATCGGAGCACCTGGAGGAAACCAACGCCAACACAGTGAGAACATGCAAACTCCACATAGAAAGGCCCAGGACCTTCTTACTCCAAGTTTGTGTGTGTGAAGTGAACTTTTTGGGAGCTTAGTGGTTCATTGAGGGATTAGAGCGATTTAAACCTCGGACCAATATTTATCCTCGCTCTGGTTCAGCCCACTCAGCTGACTCGGCTTTGGAACTGCTCTACTCTCAATTCACGTAAACTCACCTCTGAAGATAGTTATTTTACTTTTCTTCTTTTTTGGGACTTCAACAGCATAAAAATCAATGCATGTTTGTCTTAACGATAATGAGGTAACGATGCGCCTACAGCCATGGTTTCCTCTGCACCCGCCTGGTGAACATGTGGGAGCTGTAGCTGTCAGAACGACTGCTGTGACTGCGGACAGGAGATGTCTGACTTAAGTGAAGTAGCAGTGTATTCAGATTCATCCGATATTTGTAAGGTACGTTTTTAGATGAATTACTTCTATTACTAAGTTTACAGTATGTGAATATTGAGTATTACATGTTTGATATAGTTAAAAATATAGTTGAAGTTATATCCCATATTCAATGATTGATGACAGATGGGCATTATTATTATTAAAATTGTTTCACTATTCTTCCCAAACTATATGGATGGTCGTTGATTTATAATTGACAATTCAATACAAAATATGCAGTCATTGAAATGTGCCAATCCTCCTCAAAATGTTGCAGATTCTGGAAACATTTAGCTTTTTTTTGTACCGTAATATATATTGTTATGTGTCCCATTCGCGTATCGTCCGATCAGTGGGGACGATAATAGGCTGGGTATAGTGGTTTGAATCCTGTGTCGATCCGGACTGTGGAGTTTACATGTTTCTCTCCATGTCTGGGTGGATTCTCCGGCTCTGGGAGACATGACTAAACTGGATATCAACATCTGCAGATGGATCGCCGGCTGCTTTATTGAGGCCCACTGGCGTTGAAGGATGGGTCAAATGCAGAGGACGCGTGTCTCTAGTCAAAATCTATGTTAAACTAAAGAGTCTGTATCCCGAAGCATCTTGTAATGAGAATACATAATTTGAGAAACGGTATTCCAGTAAAGTTACTGTAGAGCTCTGTGGCTTTTGATTGTTATAGTAAAGATTCAAAAGGGTTCTAGTTTAGTACAAATAAAAAGAAACAAAGAAATGCACTGCTGTGATGACTGCACATGCAAACTGTACCCCTCTAAGCAGTTCATATAATAATAGTAATAACTGATCATTTTAATGCAGGTATTTTGTATTTCTGTTTTTTTCCCATCCGTGTATGTTGGTTTTGTGTTACACATGCACCAAAATAACTGACTGAATAATTGGTCTTTTCAGAATGTGTTCTGTAACCCTGCGTTTGAGCTCGAGGAAGAGAGGGAGGAGAGAGTGGAGGGATACAGGACCAGCTCGTCTTCCACACCAGAGCCTCTCAAACCAGCAAAGACCAGTGAGTCTGCGCCATACAATTAAACTCACTAAATATGGAAGCACTATGGTGTCTCTCTTCAACATCACCTCAAAATAAATAGCATGCTGTGTTTCTGCAAGATTTCAATTAACAAACTGGCCCAAATGAGAGCCTCGTTGACTTATTATCTGGGGACACATATAAAAGATGTATATTAAATTCAAAATAAAAATTTAACTTTTTTGAATGAAACGATGGTTATTGATTACCAACTTTAAATGATTGTATATACTTCTATTTGGAAAACAGTTTAAGGTTGTATACAAATAACCTGTTATGTTCTCTTGGATCTGCTCCCAAGCTTTGTTAAATACAGTGAATTATTATTGCCACCTGTCACTTCTGTCATTCAAGCGTTTGCAACAGCACTGTAAAGGTTCTGGTAATATCTAGAATTGTCTCTCTCCCTCTCCCTCTCTCCCTCTCTGAGGTCCTCTCTGGGGCCTGGTTGGAGGGTGTGTGCGGAGGCTGCAGTGTCTGGGCTGTGGATGGGGGGCGCTGTTGCTCACTGCTGCTGCTGTGCTTCTGCTGGCTGTAGTGGGACTGACCCTGGCTTTCATACTGACAGGTGAGAAAACAATAATACCGCAATGATAATTTTAAAGCCGCACTATTCTACTTTCTTGGTGAAGGGTTTGCTTTTTCCTTGGGTCCATCAGTGTGTGGATGTTTTTCCCGGATAGTCCATGTTTTCATGTATTGCCCGCAGCCCTAAATGCAGTATTGATTGAGCACATGCATATATTGTCCTGTTGTTGTAGAGTTGAAAGAGGAGGTCCTGGAGCAGCAGTGGTCGACCACAATCTCTACAGAAGTCTTTATCTCCAGAAGCGACACAACATCTCAGTCTGCTCCCACTCACAGCAGCCGGTCACAAAGCACCACTGCTGCAGCCGTAACACAGACCCCCACCACCGAGACCAGTAAGACTTCGGACACACACAAAAAATTACACTCATAAAATGTAAGGATTAATGCTTTTAGGGTTGTTTTTGATGTGTCATAAATTATACGATATTGAAATATGATTCACAGCCCTCATTTATCAATATTGTGGTGAAACAGGCTTGAGTTTTGCAATCTAATGTATACATTTTTTTAACCCACAATGCATATTAATTATAATACAGGTCCATTTAGCCTGTTGGTCTAGTTTTGTTTCAATCTGGAGAGACTCGACAGATAAAAGCAGTTATTAGAAGTGTATTTATTGATTGGCATAGTAACGTCACTGCCTAAATTACTGCATAAGACTCTGCAGACTTTAATATCAGCTAAAAACAAAGTTCCCATAGAAAAAATTAGGACTCCATAAGTCTTAATTTCCTGTGCGAGGAAACACGCAGGTCGAAAAGGTTGTGAACCACTGCTCTAAACTGTAATATTGTGCTTTATAAATCAGGTAAAATATTTGTCCTTCATTTCCGGCTGAACAGGCTGTGGAGGCGTCCTGACAGATGCGGAGGGCAGCTTCACGTCCCCTAACCACCCCGGCTCGTACCCTCCCAACTCCTTGTGCGTGTGGGTGATTCATGCTGCTGCCCCGGCCCTGGTGCAGATCCACTTGGGGGACATGTCAGTGGAGGGTCCGTCTCCCTGTCTGTTCGACTGGCTCCAGGTGCAAGAGCAGATGGAACATACCTCCTTTGTCACCAGGTTCGTCTATTACTGATTTTGAAAACATTTAATTTACCTTCAGGGTGGATGTAGGCGAAATATCTCTTGTTACAAGACTATGTAAAAACAGAAAACTTAACATACACATACTCCTTATACCTGTAGGTGGAAATACATCTTTATCTTCACTATTTCACTAAACTTCCTGCATGATTTTATTGAAAACACTGGTTACTTATTATACTTATCATCATTATTCATCTAACTGCTCAAAGACAAATTATAGGTACTCATGTTGAGCTGCCGCCAAAATGCCACACAGAGTTTAAGCAGCTGAGTCCCAGGATTCCTTTGGGGATTAAAGAGGTAAAGTCCACGTACAGACTTCGGGAATAAAACTTGAATTAATTTGATTATGGACATTGTGCAACTGGCATACAGTATTCAACTTTACCTTTGATAATTGGAAGCAACCATCACCCTTTGTCTTTTAAAATACAGTCTCTGCCTTCATATATTACATGATTGAATGTTTTTATTCTGAACTCATTTGTTAGAATGGAAAATTCTCACATGCCCTGGTGGGAAGTATTTATAGTATAAAGTACTATGTCCACCAGAATTCTGTTTAATACCATTACTGTTAATACCTCATTTGCAAATGAGGTTTTGAGACTAAAGCAGTATTTAACAACTCCCTCGCTATGTAACTATATGTATAATTTGACCCAACAACAACAACAACTTATTCTTGTATCACGACAGAAGTCATCTCGGAGGACTTAACAAAAACCATTGAAATCACCAACACAGATCAGCGAATCGGCAGTTAAGACAGATCGGTCTCTCCCTATGAGAGAGACCGATGTCCATGCATGTTGTAGAATGTTAAAGTGTCCTGGATCATCTCCACAGTCCTTCTAGTTGGACACTAACTGCCCAACAGACCCTCCTGCATCGGCAAGGGAAAAACTCACAAAAACCCAGTGGGAAAAAGTGAGAAACCTCGGGGAGACCCAATTGAGAAAGGGATCCGCTCCCACGGACGGACGGGCTAATGATCCAGGACCTAAACTACAGAACGAGGACCAAAGCCACGCAGCAGCTGCAGAGCGTGGACAGGTCCGGTGCAGGACTGAAGCACTCCCAGGCTCCCAACAGAAAGTTTTGCCAAAGTTTAGACCATGTTGTATTTAGACCACAAGGCCGAGAGCTTATTTGGTCCTCTCTTTTTCACTTTTCTGTCTCAAGACGCTGATCCAAAAGTTTGACAGAGGACAATTATACACTCAAAAAATACCTGAAAACTATTATTTGATTAGATTCTTAATTTCTCTGTGGTTTGAAAGTTTGGTACTCCAGCTTTAATACAGAAACATTATCCACACGTCTTGTTTTGTGTCAGGTTTTGTGGAAACGTGGCCCCTCCGACTGTGAACAGCAACAGCAGCACAGTGTGGGTGACTTTCCGCTCAGACAGCAGCATCTCAGGAACCGGCTTCATCGCTCACTACAGAGCTGTTTTACCCGGAGGCCGTGAGTCCCACTCGGTCCTGCAGTTTTCTGACTCAAAATACGTTGTCATTCAATATAAATAATGAAAATATTACTCTCTTTGCTTCATGGTGGTGGTCTACTCCTATAGGAAATGTGGAAAGAAAATATATTTTAAGTAATAAAGGGGTATTTTTGAGTAAAAGTACTGATTAAGCCTATATATATCATCTGGGCTGGAGGCTTAAGACTAAGGCTGGGGCAAAAACTATTGAATTTGAACGTAAAAAAGACATCAAAACAAGATAAAACACAAGCGGCACGGTGGCTGAGTGGATAGCACTCTCGCCTCTCAGCAAGAAGGTCCTGGGTTCGAATCCCGGTCGGACCAGGGCCTTTCTGAGTGGAGTTTGCATGTTCTCCCCGTGTCTGCGTAGGTTTCCTCCGGGTACTCCGGTTTCCCCTACCACTAAAAATATGTCCAATAGTTCTGGCATGTGCCTCCTGTACCGGCGACCCCGCTCCCATCTCTGTGTGGAGTGAGAGACAAATGCCCAAAATTAACAATTGTAAACCGCTTTGAGACTCAGATCTGCAGTGAAAAGGCGGTATATAAATAAAAACTTACTAACTTACTAACTTACAATAAATACTATAAATAAATCTTTTCTTAATGGAGTGTCCCTGTTTCTCGTGTGTTTGAAGCAGAGAAGTTTGTGTAAGCTCTCAGTCGTACGGGGATTAGTCAAAGCAAAGGAAGGTTTCTCACCCATCATCTGTACTTCTTAGAAAGTTTTCCAGACGTTTCGTCCTCAAACTAGCGGACTTCTTCAGGGAATGAATTCTCGGACCGCGCGTTGGAGATTTATAACCTATGGGTGTGGTTAGCCACACCCTAATCCTGATACTAACTCATAAACAATCTCAGGTCTGTTTGATGTAGAAGGGGGCAGGTCTAACGAGCCTGCTTAGGCTAACGACCCTAACTCATTAGCATGTCACTGACCTTGTCCCAAGTTAGGGCGTTGTTTTTAGGATATCGTCATAGATGCGAGGCAAAACAAATCTTAACCCTCCTCCTCTGTTAAGAGAAGGTTTTTGTTTCCTCACAAAAATGGCTTCTATCACCCCTCTTTCAAACCAATTCTTCTCCCGAGCCAAAATTGGAGAACGGACAATTAGAGACTGAGGTCTTCAGAAAGTCCACTCACACTGACCAGTACCTGGCCTTTGATTCAAATCATCCGCTACAACACAAACTCGGGGTCATTAGAACGCTTCAACACCGAGCCCACCAGGTCCCCACTAGCTCGGAGGGAAAGAACAGAGAAACCAAACATGTTCAGAGAGCACTTTCCAGATGTGGCTACCCCAAGTGGTCTTTTACTAAAGCCCAAAGGATGAGAAAGGCCAGAGACACAGTCCAACAGACAGAAGAAAGTAGGAGGAGAGGGGTGTCCTTACCATATGTGGCGGGAGTTTCAGAGAAACTACAAAGAATCTTTAGGCAACACAAAATCCCTGTGTATTTCAAACCTTTCAACACGTTAAGACAGAAATTAGTGCATCCCAAAGACAAAACACCCAGACACAAACAGAGCAATGTGGTGTATTCAATTAAATGTAGTGAAGAGGAGTGCACTGACCACTATATTGGAGAAACCAAACAAACTCTACAGAAACGACTTTACCAACATCGTAGAGAAAACTCTAGTGGGCCACAGTCGGCTGTTCATCTCCACCTCAAGGCCTCCGACCACACGGTGGATGACACAGAGGTTAAAATTTTGGCTCGGGAGAAGAATTGGTTTGAGAGAGGGGTGAAAGAAGCCATTTTTGTGAGGAAACAAAAACCTTCTCTTAACAGAGGAGGAGGGTTAAGATTTGTTTTGCCTCGCATCTATGACGACATCATAAAAACAACGCCCTAGTATCAGGATTAGGGTGTGGCTAACCACACCCATAGGTTATAAATCTCCAACGCGCGGTCCGAGAATTAATTCCCTGAAGAAGTCCGCTAGTTTGAGGACGAAACGTCGGGAAAACTTTCTAAGAAGTACAGATGATGGGTGAGAAACCTTCCTTTGCTTTGAAGCAGAGAGTTGCTCCAGAGATGAGTTCATGTGTGACGGTGGACGCTGCCTGCTCCCGGTGTCTGTGTGCGATGGACATCCTCACTGTGACGACCAGACGGACGAGGACAGCTGCAGCCACAAACACAGCGGTGAATGGGCACTCTGGGAGTTACGGTGCAGCCAAAACCAAACTGAAGTGACATTGCCTTCTGTTTATCGCATCATAGAGAGATAGGGCTGCATGGTTTTGGCATCATATCTATTCGTCATATTAGCTTATACTGTACATTAGCTATATTGGTGAACTTCTTAACAGCTAGCAGTAGTAGTATCTATATTAGTGTTTCACGACTGGCACTGATCTCTATTTTCTTCAGTGGTAAAAACATTTGCGCTAAGATAAGATAAACTTTATTCTACTCAAGGGAAATTTACTATGGGATACACAGCTACACAAATAAAAAACATAATTGAATCAATAGGAAAGTGCAGTAGTCTCTTTTTGGTTAAATGTATCATCAATTTTAATAAATAGATCATGGATTAAAAACATATAAATAATTTGCCTTTGACAGATTGCGGAGGGCAGAAAACAGGACCAAACGGTTTCATAGCAAGTCCCAACCACCCACTGCTATATCCTCATCGACAAGTAAGCAACCCTAGCCCTAACCCATCTAATTAGCACACAAAAAACATAAAAACATGAAATTATTAGAATCTGAACAACAACTAGTTCCATTACTCTACATTTGCTTGCATTTTTTTCTCAATAATCTTAAAGCTTCCTGGTCTTCATCTTGTGTCCCTGAGCAAGACACTTCATTTGCCTTCTGAGATTACAATGCTGCTTGTACTGCAGTCTATTTTACATCCTATTTTTCTGTTGTTGCAGTTGTGCATTTGGCAGATCTCCGTCGCAGAGGGACATGTGGTCACGCTGAGCTTCAGGAACTTCAGCCTGGAGCCTCACAACACGTGCGAGTTTGATTATGTGGAGCTGCACGATGGAGCCGACATAAGAGCCAGAGTTTTGGGAAGGTGCCACTTGTGACCACTCTACTCTACTCTACTCTACCCTACCTCTACTCTACTCTACTCTACTCTACTCTACTCTACTCTACTCTACTCTACCCTACTCTACCCTACCCTACCCTACCCTACCCTACCCTACCCTACCCTACCCTACCCTACTCTACTCTACTCTACCCTACCTCTACTCTACTCTACTCTACTCTACTCTACTCTACTCTACCCTACTCTACTCTACTCTACTCTACTCTACTCTACTCTACCCTACCCTACCCTACCCTACCCTACCCTACCCTACTCTACCCTACCTCTACTCTACTCTACTCTACTCTACTCTACTCTACTCTACCTACTCTACCCTACCCTACCCTACCCTACCCTACCCTACCCTACCCTACCCTACCCTACCCTACCCTACCTACCCTACTCTACTCTACCCTACTCTACTCTACCTACCTACTCTACTCTACTCTACTCTACCTACTCTACTCTACCTACCCTACCCTACTACCCTACCCTACCCTACCCTACCCTACCCTACCCTACCCTACTCTACTCTACTCTACTCTACTCTACTCTACTCTACTCTACTCTACTCTACTCTTAAGATTGATTAAACTCAAGTATTGAAATCATTCCATAACTTCTTAATTAAAAAATAACATGCGTTTTTCTTGAATAACTCTCGGACAGTATATTGTAATTGAGATTTTTTAAGCAATGACTTCATACTGGCAGAGAATATGACCATAAACTATGTAGAACTGGACTGAACTTACAAGGCACAATGTATTCATCAATTTAGAAGCATTGCTAATCAGACATTTGTTTGTCATGTTGCCATTTGCGAAGTGACTAATAATTTTAAAATGTAAGGAGTAAGTAAACATATTTGGGCCGGTCACCTCTGTCTTAAAGCAGAGGCCAGTCTTTACACACAAAACTTTATTGAAGAAAACCGCTGCACAAAACCGCTGCACTGCACAACTTTTCCACAACATTTATGGACATTTATGCTCGACTGTCCTTATAGAATATAGATCAATGGTTCAATGTGTTTTTTTATCATTGCATTTCCTGTGTTTAATTTCTTTCCTGTTTAATTCTCTGATCTGTGTTGGCAAAATCCTCCAAGATAACTTCTGTTTTGATTCAGTGCTATATCTAAATACATTGAATTGAATTGAATTGCACATGTGATGACTTCTTGCCCAGTTTGGAGTCCAACAGTGCGTTATAAATACAGATTTCCTCCTATCAGTTTGTTCTTGTTGTTCTCAGGTTTTGTGGCAGCTCTGTTCCTCCAAACATCACCTCCTCAGGACCCCACATGACTCTGGTGTTTGTGGCCGACGATGGACTGACCGACAGTGGCTTCAATGCTTCGTACCAGGCTGTGTCCCTCTTAGAAAGTCAGTCCCTAATCATTTTTGCGACTGTATTTCTGCCTTTTCTGGACAGTTTTTCTTATTTAAAAATGAAAAATACATGCATGTGAATACTAGTGATGGAACCAAACAGTTTTGAGACTGAGTAACTATAGATAGATGTCAATGTTGCGGCGCACATGCAGGACAGTAGTAAGAGCACACAAAATATACAATCTAATAGCTGCTAGCTGTAGATGCTTAAATATAAACATAGATAGACTAATATATATATATATATATATATATATATATATATCTATATATCTATATATCTATAGTGTAAAGTTGTATACATAAAGGGCAAAATAATAAGTAGATAAAGTGACATTGATTTCATATTGTTGTTACATTTGTGGGTTGAAAGCTAATTGATGTTTTGCTTCTGAAACAATCACAATAACCTCTATACTTTACACACACATCGGGGCCTGAACGACCTCTCCTCTGGTGCAGGGACTTGTGGACCGGAGCAGTTTGCGTGCGGCTCAGGAGAGTGTCTCCAGAGGCAGTGGCTTTGTGACGGGTGGAACGACTGCTCTGACGGAGAGGACGAGCACCACTGCGGCAACTCCACCTTCCCCCCTTTCAGTGAGGCCGCCTTATCCCTGAACCATTTCACACGCGCTCTAGGCTCCTGTTCCCAAACCCACAAACCAACACCACACCAGGGACCGCAGCCTTTCAATGGGATATTATCAAGATCTGACATGAGAACATTTCAGCCTGGTTTCTTTGCTTTTATAAAGAAATGCAAGTTTTTAACCCTTGCTTCATGAGCTCCGGAATCTGACAGTTTCTATACAGCAACCTCGGTTCCCACTAAGTTTCTCTACATTTTACATTTAAATATTTTATATAGAATTTATTTCGGTCACATAGATTTTAGTAGTCATGTACTGTATCCCTTATGCAGTTACCTGGCTCCACTTTTTATTTATCGTCCCCATCTGTAATTTGTCCTCAGCATTTGACTCATCATCCAATGCCACTAGGGCGTCTGTCAGGAGCCGAGCCGAGGATTTCCAGATGTCAATGCTGGAGTTGTTGGACCCATCCATCCATCCATCCCTTTTTTTTTGCGTCATCTGTTGCCGGGTCGCAGGGGCAGCAGTCTAAGAAGAGACGCCCAGACTTCCCTATCCACACACACTTCCTCCAGCTCGTCCGGGGGGACCCCAAGACGTTCCCAGATCAGCTGAGAGACATAGTCCCTCCAGGGAGTCTGGGGCCTCCTCCCGGTGGGACGTGCCCGGAACACCTCCCCAGGGAGGCGTCCAGGAGGCATCCGATACAGATGCCCGAGCCAACTGGTTCCTCTCGACGTGGAGTAGCAGCGGCTCTACTCCGAGCTCCTCCCGTGTGTCTGAGCTCCCCTCACCCTATCTCAGGGAGCGCCCAGCCACTCTGCGGAGGAAGCTCATTTCGACCGCTTGTATCCGCAATCTCGTTCTTTCGGTCATTACCCAAAGCTCATGACCATAGGTGAGGGAGGGAGCGAAGATTGACCGGTAAATCGAGAGCTTTGCCTTTCGGCTCAGCTCCCTCTTCACCACAACGGTCCGATACAGAGGCCGCATGTACAGAGACCGCATGGCCTGTTAATCTTACGTTCCATCCTTCCCTCACTCGTGAACAAGACCCCGAGATACTTGAACTCCTCCACTTGAGGAAGGACCTCCCCACCCACCTGAAGAGGGCAAGGCACCTTTTTCCGGTCGAGCACCATGGCCTCAGATTTGGAGGTGCTGATTCTCATCCCAGACACTTCACACTCGGCTTCAAACCGCCCCAGTGCATGTTGCAGGTCCTTGCTGGTTGGAGCCAACAGGACAACATCGTCGGACCCAGTAAAGGAATTTACCGGTACATGTTTTAGTGGTAGGGCAACCCAAAGTTCTGAACGGAATAAGATAGAACACCAGGAGGGAATCTACGCAATCTACGCAAGTTTGCAGAATATGCAAACTTCACTCAGAAAGCGAGAGAGCAACCACTGAGCCACCGTGGTGCCAAAAGGGTAAACAAATTAAGAAAAGTATAGAAGTGCTACTTTTTTCCCTGATATGTTATTCAATAATACATTACTGTAGTCTGAATATACCTAAACCTGGGTGCTGTTATGGCCAGGTCTGAGGTCAACTCATTACTCGTGGAAGTCCCTTTCTCTTGAATTAAATACTTTTGATAATATACAGCCAGCCTACTCTTTCAGTCAACGAGTATATATTAGGTAGGCCTTTATGATTCAATTCATAAAAATCAGTTTCTGGTCAAGTTGACTTGGTTCACCTCTAAGGCAAAAGCAACATAGTGGGACCCCATTTATAAGCTTTGCAGAGATTTTTGGGAAGTCACAAAAATCTGTGGTGATATGAAAAAAATAAAATAAAATGTCTTTCCAGTTGTGAATATGGAACTTTGAAAGAAATGTTAAGCTTTCATTGTTTTTGTTTGGTTTTTCAGGCTCGTCCTGTGAAGTCATAGAGGTGGAGATGTGTCTGGGTCTGAGTTATAACCTCACCTCGTTTCCAAACATCTGGTTGTCCATCGCTGACCAGACGGAGGCGGCCTCACTGCTGCGTCACTACCAGGTAACCATCTTTTATCAACAATAATCAGTCCCATATCTATCTGCAACAAAGCCATCTAACACTATAGGGTTTCTCATTCTCTTCTGACCTCTTTCTACCTCTTTTGTGGGTGCAGGTGCTGAAGGAGCTGGCCTGTTTTGAGTCCTTCAGGAGGCTTCTGTGTGGGATGTTTGTTCCCCACTGCAGTCCACTAGGGGGCGTGGTTCAGCCGTGTCGCTCCGTGTGCACCGAGGCCGAGCAGCGGTGCAGTCACGCCCTGGACACGCTCTCCTTCAGCTGGCCCTTTAACTGCGATCTGCTGCGGGACTCACGGCAGACCATGGAGTGCTCTGTGCCCTAAAGACAAGACTATGGCTGCATTCGAATTCATTCAACATTTCTCCCTTCTTTCCTGTCCTTTACAATGCCACATGAGCTCCAGATTTGATTAACCACATTCAATTATTTTTGTTTATGCAATTCTATTTTGTTTGATACTTGTGCAAATTAGTATCTTTATTCAATACCAGTTTTAGTATAAATATCTGACTTTTACCTATAAGTGAGAGTAATGGCATCATGGACATTTGAGAAAATACATTACGCATACATCCCTCAGTCCTCGTTCTACAACCTGAGTCCTGGATCCTGCTCTCAATGTATGATATGCATTCATACCACCCAAAGTACTCACAAACCAAAGTCAAAAAAATCTGTACAAATGAGTAAAAATGGACTAATTATAAGAGCAGGGCTTTAACATTGCTATGGATGTGGCCTATCTTTCAATATCAGAGACAGATTACACACTCCTGACCATTTTAAGACTATTTCACTGCCACCATCAATAAAAGAAAGGAAAAACAAAACAGCAGAAGGAAACGGACATTGAAACTGAATTTGGAGGCCTCAAAAGCACTTGTTGTGATGTGTGGGTACTCCTGACCAGTGACAGGTCCTAATACCATGTGTTTCCTAAACTGTGGTACTTGTACTGGTCTTCGAGGCTTAGTGAAAAGTTAATTTAACAAACATTACTGATCTTTGTGTAGAAAAGATTTAAGAATGTTTCTATACTTTTCCAGTGCCATAAAATCATCCAGAATGTTCTACATTACACGCAGAGGGGAAGAAGGCCACTTGTTTACTTTTCGCACATTTTATATTTAAGCATGAGAACTTTTTAATTGTAATGAGAAACACATCAGTACAATAACCAGTTCACGTCTTAAATACATTCAGTGGTAGCAGCATCAGATCCATCAATCACTTGTATCAGTCTGCACTGTGTAAATATGACAATTGTAAATGTAATCATATCACAAAGAGCCAGAGGAAGTGGAGAATAACATTGTAAGATAGAAAGGTGACAGTGTGACTCTTTGGAGCATTTAATAAATAAAAGTGACCAGTATTGATTGTGTGACCATTAAATATAAAAGGTAGAATTATAAATACTTGTATAAATGAAGTTATGTTGTTATAAAATGGTTCAGACGGTTCCACAGCAGAAACTGTTGATTCAAGAATAATGTAAGTTGTGGACTGTAGGGCTGCACTCGGTTCGGGACTAAAAAGGTAAATGTATCGGGTTACATTTTCAAAGCATTGGAATTAGCTTAAGAAACAACGCTTTCAGGGAAAACTCTCACTTAAAACGTGTTAACATTTTGCATTGTCATATTTATCTACGACATGAAATCTCAATCTTGAGCAAAATCATGAAATAAAATGACCTACGCACTCATCTCTTCAGGTGGATCTGCACTCCACCCCTGAATTCAACAGTATCATAAACGTGGTCACAGCAAAGGCCCTGCTCCGCCACAGATACATCACAATTAAGTTTTTTTTGTTTTAATGGCTGAAAAACAACATGGATGTAACACAGGTTGGAGGAGCAAAGTCAGAATAGTTTTCTTGATGCTAAATTTTAACCTGTTTTTGACACCACTGCGATGAACATCAAACTTTGTCCTGACTTTGCCGTTCTATTTTGTTCGATACTTGCTAAAATAGGTTTCAATACTAGTTTTAGTATAATTATCTGATTTTCCCAGATAAAGAGTGCTGATCCCTCTCTTGATGTGGGCCCCCATGGTTTCTCCCTTTTTACCCACTGCTTTATTTTTTTTTTGAGTTGTTCCTTACAGATACAGAAGGGTCTAAGGACAGTGATGATCCAGAACACTTATGGACCAATGGCTCCTGTGTAATGATTTCCTGCGTTCAAAACGGTTTGATTCTCTGATGTTGTTGGTGAACTTTGTAGTGTCCTTTGAAATGTTATGATTCAGGGCTATACAAAAATACATTGAATTGAACATGCATGAATCGCTTGGAAAAGAAAATGACGAGGGAAAACCAATATAGCATTGTGAAAATTAAGATTTAGCACGTCATGTTCTCTTTAAACAGCCTTGTGCAGCCCTACAGTGTCGAGCAGCTGCGTGCGGTGAGGTCTCACTACTGACAAATTATTTTCAAAGAGTGATCCAAGGCCACAGCGGTCAGACCCCAGACTCTGTGTTTCCCGTTCCTGAATACGGGAAGAGTGTAGCCGTATTTGTCTCCGGTGCGAAAGTGTGTGTAACCGCGATTCACCGGGTTACACAGGTGTGGCAGCGACACGGTGAAGACCTCCTCCACCTACGAGTACAAAAACAGCGCACAAATATTCTTTAAGAAACTTTCTTCACATAACAAGTCTCATGAAGCACCTTTAAGAAGTGGATGGGTTACTTGATTACCAACATAATGTGAAAAGAAATGACGGTCTAATGCTAATGCTAATGTTGCTAGTAAATAATAATAGAAGGGAATACCTAAAATGCCCACTTTCAACTAGTACTGACAACAAGATCACTTTATTGGTCTATTTTACGTTTAAAAGTGCAAATACAGTAGGTTTCACTATCTAAATAAAATCACTGCCTAAAATGAAATAATGAGTCTTAAAACATTAAGTCTGTATTATTATTTCTTTATATTATTCTACAGTTTCTTTGTATAAATAATTCCTGGATGGTTAAATGTCCGTACCTCCCCAGGGTTTGGTTTGAAGGACAGCTCTTCCAAAGGACCCAGGTTTGCGAGCACCGGCGCCACCATCATTCCCGTCTGTGAGTAACAATTAGATTTCAAAACACATAGTTAACCTTGTCCGAGGCAATGACAGTGACTGATGAGAAATTACTAATACAATAATTTACAACGTGAGTGGTGTTCTCGAGGTGGGGGTGAAAAAGAATAGTTTTTACCCCCACCTCGTGAAGTGATATTTTTATAGTTTAGGGGTTATTTACAAAGTATACATTGAAAGATTGAAATAATCCTGATAATATAATTATTGGTATAAATAAATGTAAAAATATGTATGTATACTGTTTTATTGTTTTTATTAAATGATACAATTAGTACGAACAAGTAAATATATAGAATAAATGTACAAATAAAAATTGGGTATTGGAATTTAAAAAGGAATGAGGCTCTCGAAGTCTCAGAGTTTTATCTTGTCTAGCAGAATCCAAACATAGATTAAGCTGAAAATAAACACGAATAGGCCATTTTCTTTCAAATCTTTTGTGTAGAAATATTCGGATTCTGCCTTTTAATATGTCTGCTGAATATTGTACGGTGTAGTTGTTGGTCGTTGTGTGCATCTGTGTTGATGCTTGTGGTTCGTACCATCTCCCTGAGTGGTTTGAGCACCCCCCACACTTGCTCCGCTCCCACGTTTATGCCCAGCTCCTCCCTGGCCTCTCGCAGAGCTGTGGCCACAACGTCTTTGTCTGATGGATCGCTCTTCCCTCCAGCAAAACTGCAACGGACAGGTGTAAGAATGAATCATCTCAGAAACGCTATTGTATCTAGTCGTTTTGTAATTTAATCTCATAAATCTCACAAAAAATCCTGACTCTTTTCAACACCATATTATTTACTTAAACTTTTCTTAAAGACATAACTTGATTCTGCTTGCTATGCAGTGATAATCTATGTCACATAGACTGTCCAGGTACTTTTGTATTTCAGTCCTGCCTGAAATGCTCACATGCTCCGTTCAGACCACAGATAAAATGATCAAACAGTGAATTTAAATTTTCTTTAAGCAAAAAGGCCTTCGCTTGGGAATTTCCCCACACAATCAAAAGAACATGGTCTGGACCTCATCTGTTGCTCTGGTGAAACACCCATAGATTGCAAAACTGACTGGATTCCCTTATCTGCTTAGATTTAATGTCAACCTGCCTCTGACCAAAACCCAAACCGTTACTACATTGTCGGGAGCACTTTGGCCCTTATCTATGTACGGACATTTAGTACCAGGAAAGCCAGAAATATTTCAGAGTTTATTTCCCAGGGGAGCTATGGTAATATTATTTTAGGAGAATGTGCACTACAAACATGCAATACTACTAACATAAATTAAATCTACACTGGCCAGGTGTCATTAAGGATGATGAAATAGCACAATTAAGTAGACATGTTGATTACCTTAACAGAAAGAGTTGGTAACTAATTTGTTTTTTATTTATTCTTTTGCAAAGCGTCTTTGATTGTCCATAAAGCGCTATGAGTAATGGTATGATGTATTATTATTAACCACAACATTCTGTCTTTGTTGTATAAGAAAACGTATATTTGACATACTATATAACCTGAGAAGCTATCGGCTAAGTGAGGGTTGGTACTTCCTGTCTCTGAAAAAATATGTGAGAAAGGCAGAGAATACATGCATCTCCAAACTAGAGATGAGAGATGGATGAACATAGTTTTAAAATACTGTTCCAAAGTAAAAGTGAACTATGCCTAAATCAATAGTCTTTGTTCCGCACTCACCTGACGTCTCCTTTGTGCCTTCCATGGAGTGTGTTGGAGCGCAGAGTGAACAGAATGGCAGGTTCGTCCTCCACACTGCAGAGACTGACCAGAACGGAAGCCCACCTTGCCGGTTTCTTCCCCAAACTTAGACTGGGAGTCCTCCGTACCACCTTCTCCACCTCATAGAGCTTCGAGTTTGGTTTAAGAATCCGTCGACATCTTTGCTCATTCACAGAAGACAGACATTCTCTCCAGGCCGAGTCGTCCCTTGGGTTGGCCTTGTGAACTAGTCTTGTTTGATGGATAACAACATGAGGTTTTAATAGTAAAGAGCTAGAACATCTTGTCAGGTTAGATCTACTACATAAATTATTGAGCTTAAAGGGGTCACTAGAGGAGTAACAATGCTGCCTTCTCTGGAATTGAACACAGTCCGTACAGTAATTGTTAGCAGAGCTTCCCCATTGTTTATGTTCAATGTTTAAGAAAGATCCAGAAACATGTTGACTGGATGAAAATGCTTTGGGAAAGAAGTCATTCAATGGCTTTATATTTTGTGAATGTCCTTTGAAATGTGCACTGGATGTGCACATTTGAGATCTTGTTTGATGGCATCTTGTGGGGCGTCTTCTTTTGGTATATTTAGGGCTATGTGAAGCATAAGCAGCGGCGTACTGAGACAAAGCAGGGATGTGACAGTCTCTTTGCTGTAACAGGACCCGCACGGGACAAGCCCAATTCAAGAACTGAGAACCTCTGAGCATCCTGGAGAAAGAGATACAAAATACAATGCATTATATAAAACAGATTTGAACAGGAAACCAACCATAAACCAACTATTTGTTTTTGCATCATTGAGACATCATAGAAAATATTCTACTTAAGAAATGGTTTATTATGCCTTATTCCTTCCTTACTTTTGACTTGTTTGTGCCGAGAGCAAAAGCAACTTGTTACTTACATGGAATAAAAAATTAATCTGATTCTGGATTTGATTTTATATTCAACTTCTTTCCAAGACATTTTCACTTTTGACCTTTGGAACCTATATATATACAATCCAATTAATTATTAAAAAGGGGACAATAGTCGTAATACTGAACCATAACGGATATTGGTTAGAAATGCAATGCAATAGTCAATGCCATCATCATTATTACTATTATGAGTAAAGTATCGTTGTTGACTGAGAAATATGATACAGCCCCATGTTTGCATTTACTACCAGAAGAACCTGTTGAGGAGGGTTTTTTTTTTTTTTTTTTTAGAAAAGAAGAAAAACCATTGAGGTCACGACATTCCTTGTTTTTTTAAGAACAGTTGAATGCTTTCATAAATATACACCATATTATATTGTAAAAAAAAAAAAAACGTAGTGTTAACACAACGAAAACATACTGTGACTTTACTGAAGCAGAGGCTTAAATTTCGTGAAACTACTTTGTTTAGAGTAACCAAAGAGTACACCTACAACAGCTCGGTTAAGTTTATTGCATATGGATCTTCCAAACAACATCGTGTTCCTTCCTGTCAGTCCTATCTCATACTTTCTCCGCGGGTTATCTTACTACTACTTCACCCGGTTAGCAAAACAGCTAGCATGCACACATAAGACTACTCACAAGAGCGCTTTCATACAATCTAAACTTAATTTGGCGGGTTGAATAAAGTTTTTGCAGAGATAGATTTCCAAAAGAATCATAACGTCATTACAAATATAATTATTAAGCAAATTCCTCTCACCTTGAAAGTTGCGTAAACATCAGCTGCTGTTTGGGTTATGGCCAGTTTCCGGTTGCCAGGAGTAAAGATGGCGTCCGCTGCCACATCCAAATTCAGAAAATACCTCCTTTTTTGATCTTCTGCTTCCTATCCATTAAAGTTTGTGACATCATATTGGCATATTTCTGATTCTAAAGAGTTTTCAATATGGCTGAAGTAAAGTTTGAGCTGCTTTATTTCTTTAAAAAGTCTATAAAGAAAGGACGAGGAAGGATGTATTGTTTAATGAAACTGGATGTAGTCGTCGTGTCATGCTTAAAAAAAACAAAAAAACATTTAGCAATGCATGCTATTTTTGGATCTCAGAACTCTGGGAATTCCTACCTGAATCTAAAGGTAAAACCATGGCAGACACGTTTCTGTGGCAGGTTTGTTTTCTTGATGGTCCAAATGTCTGATGTCTGATGCACAATAAAAGGTGGGGTACATACAGTCTATGGTACATACCTTTTTTGGTTTAATAAATAAGACATACGGAGTTTTCTAACAGTGACATGCTACCACTCCCTTTGGCCTCACGGGGGTCTTTTTTGTGTGCAATTTACAAAAGACATGTTTCCTAATGTAAGTAAGTATACAAAACTTTTTCTGGTGGGAGAAACAACATGGAAACAAAAAAGTTTGGCACCCCAGCTTTAAGGTGATTACATTACGAATCTATATTTTATCTGGGTCTTATTTACTCTCTACTGTATCAAACAGTCATCTTGAGTGGTAGTTATAGCCTAATTTTGTTTCTTCAAAACTCATTATTTTACACTCGGTACACAAATTTAAATAACATATTTATATATACTAGGTATTTTTTGTTCTATTTCCACTGTTGTTTCACCATGGTTATGATATTACATTATTTGAACATTTGTGTTTATTCATCATTGTCTTTTTCCTCATTACCTTGTCACCTCTGTAAATACATTTCTACTTTTACTTACAAACGTTTTTCGACGTGACATTGTAATATATTTAGGTTAGTTGACTAATAGTTAATAGCATTAATTTTAGGTGAGTATTTTGTTACCTATACCCTCTGACATATATATTGCATGAATGTTGATGAATGTGGGGCTTGTATTGATAAAGTTAAATGGGAGGTGCCCTGAAACTCTGCTCAACCTGTTAAACCTGCTCCTGGCTCTTGTAAGTTAAGTTTTGAGCAACAAGTGATTTGCCTTTTCATTCATTGAAATCTTTTACATCTTGGGTCACATTTTCCTACCACAAACCCTTACTTCTTATTCTCCAGAGGGATCCTTTCCAATGGCATCAGCTTGGGCAGAAGAAGAGACCTTCTCTTGCTCTGTATGTTTGGAAACCTTAAAGGACCCTGCCACTCTACCCTGCGGACATTCTTACTGCTTGGTCTGTATCCAAAACCACTGGGATCAGAAGAATGGGAAGGGGCAATACAGCTGCCCACAATGCAGGCAAGTCTTCAACCCACGACCATCGCTGGCTAAAAGCACTCTTCTAGCCGAGGCAATGGAGAAATTACGAACCAATAGTCTCAGGCAAAAGGAGGCATCTTTGGCCCCTCCATCTTTGCCGGTTTATGTGGATGTCCTTCCTGGAGGGGGGCCACAGCCTGGATGTATTTACCCCCAGCTGCCCATCACTGAAGCCCCTCGAATGTGTCCGCAGCATAACCAGCCGCTTGAGCTGTTTTGTCACGAGGACAGAGAGTGTGTGTGCGCGCTGTGTCGCCAGTATGGACACAAGGGACATCGAGTGGTCCATCCTACGGAGGAGAGGAGACACAGACAGGTATCCAAAATAAACTAAAGTACAACACATTTTTCTGTGATACAAGAGCAAAGATATTTAGGGATAGTATTGAAGATAACCTTAAATTATCTCACAACGGGGCAAAATGCCAGTGTCATTGTTATGCACTTTACAGGGCAGTACAAGAGCACTCAACTAGAGATTACACAAGATAATCAAATACATTTACATATTGAACACTAGTACCTCTGTATTCATTATTTTGAGAACTTAAGTGGCAAGGTAAATTCTTGTGACATTGATGAGAATATAGACCCCAGGAAGAATAGCTACAGTATATTTCAGTAACTAATGGGGATATAAATAAAAACAAACAAACAAGTTAACAAGAAAAACACAAACGTATCGATATAAAGAAACCCCAATCCCACTATAACACACTATGACAAGTATAGCAACTAGTCTTCCTGGGTCCACCTCTAAATGACAATAAACCATACATAACTGATGATACAATTAATAGAAATTAATAAATGACATAACAACAGAATCAGACTTATTCACTTCCTTTTAAGACAAAATAGATAGCTTCAGTAGAATCTATAATCGGAATTCCCCATGCCGATGACAACATGCAGTTTATGTCATGTGACAAAAATGTGGTGTAGTTTAGTAGAGTTAAAGGTCTACTCTAACCTTTCTGATGAGGCTTTACTTTGATTGTCGAAATAATGTCAAAATTGTTCTAGACTTTTATTTATGAGATAACTATTTTATTTGTTCTAAAAAAAATAATAAAAAACCTGCAACTACAAATGTGTGATATACAGCACATATATGTGTATTTTTTCCTCTCAGGAAGAACTTGTTCAAATGCAGCAAGAAGTTCAACATCGTGTTCAACTGACGGAAAAGACTCTGAAAGAGATCCCTCATGTGACCAAACAACACAAGGTACAACACATTTTAGCCACACACTGTTATAAAGTGATATACTTGGATTCGGAATGATAACCCAGTTTACATATTTCATGTTCCCCGGTCAATCTGTGCTGTGCTTTTTGTTTAATTGGGGAGTTATCAAGTGAATACTGATACATTTGCATAGATATGAAATATAAAGTTTATACTAGTTAAACATTCAAACTCTTGGGCATTGTGTCACTGCCTGATCCATATAGTTTCACTTTAAAGGAGGCAATCAATGGCCCCTGGGAAAATTGTGGCCTCATCATGCATTATTTCTTGACCCTCTGTATTTTGTCAAAAGCAGAGATAAATTACTTGACGATTTTACGGCCAAAATTAATATTTTGGTGTCCTCTACGGGCGCTTAAATCCAGCCCGTCACTTTGTGTGTGTTTCAGTATGTTGTTTTTTATATAGAGGGCCCATGCAGCCCCTCAGAGTTCACATTCTTATTCACGTGATGTTTCTAATGTTTTCAATGTGAACTTCTGTATCTTTTTTTGTTTTATGTTACATCTGTATGAAAAATATAAGTTTGACATATATCCGTATACTTACTTACTTTCTCACCCCCAGGCGTTAGTCCAGGCCTTGCAGAGCGAGAGCAGTGCCGTGTTCTCAGAGCTGGTGAAGGCCGTGGAGGGGACTGGGGCTCGGGTGGCGGAGGTCCTCGGTGCCCAGGAGGAGTCTCTGAGCAGCAGAGTGGAGGGGACCGTCCAGAGGCTGCAGCAGGAAGTGGCCCGACTGCACTGGAGGAGTGAGGAGCTCAGCAGACTGGCCGACATGCAGGACCACATCTGCTTTCTGAAGGTCCAAACACACATTATGCCCCTGCCTTTTATGTATTTGTTACATATAGATAGAGGACAGCTGTTTGAAGAGGAATAAAAATGTCAACTATATACATATACAAAATACTCTACACACCCAGCTAGAGATTCATTGTTAGTGTTTGTGTGAAGCCTAATATTGTTAAATAAACATGCTTTTTTGGGTATCCAAAAACCCAAAAACTGCAAGGCGGCCCAGGAATTGACAAGAACTGGAGGTTTCTCACCAAGAAGAATGGACAGATTTACCACAAGAGATGACATGTTGTTTATTCAAAGTTGGTTGTTCACTGTCTTTTGTACCTCTCATCTCGATGTTCTTGCAATTGTCAAAAAACAAACCTATGTAAGGTTTGTGTTAGGTATTTATAATCACAGACTCATTTGTCCTTCTTTAATCTGTGAAGGGTGTATGACTGTTACTTTTTGATCCTTAAAAGTAGCAAAAAAAAGACAATGATGCATTTTTTGTCTCAGTTTTAAACTGAAAACCTTTTGTGTTGCAGAACTTCTTCCTGCTGGAGCCGCTGGGTCAGGCAGCCGTAGAGCCTGGTCTCGGACACCAGGAGGCAGCAGTGAGCGCGGCACGTTCAACCCTGAGAGAACTTCAGGCGTCTGTTGAAAACCAGTGCAAAGCTGCACTCACCAAGATCCAAGCTTTAGGTACACATCATTTTACAAGATTATTACATACTGCTTTTACAGCAAATACAGAAAACCTGTATATTTCCCAAAACAAAATGTCTTTACAGCATAGTTTTAATTTCAGGCAATAATTCCACACATTATTTGTAAATTATCCATTTTAACTATTGGTGTGAGCCTTTACTCACCATATTTACAAGTTTCTCTGTTGCTGGAGAAATCCTTCATTAGCATTGGAATGGTGTAAAGTATATATTCTATACAGTATATATAACATAACTGTTTACATTTTGAAGCAGTGAACGATGAATCTCCAACTCCCGAAACTAGTGATGAAACAGCGACTGTTCACAATGTTGCCACGTCTCAGACCGGCCCAGAGAACACAGGTACGTTTATTACAGGTACATTTATTATATCAGATCATACATGTGTTGAATTTCACTCATAACTATTTCCTTGTTTAGCGTTATATGAAATCGTCCTTCCAGGTAAGACTCTTTTAAATGGGGCCTATTATAATATAACTCTAAATATCTATCATGTATTTTCACTTATTGTACAGATCCCGTGGCACCTCTCAAACCTCATGGTAAAGATGAAAAATGAAGAAAAAAACAAAAACCTTCTGTTTATTGGGCTGAGAAACAAAAAAGTAACAATTGGTTTTTATTTTACAATTTGTAGTTGAAGCTTCAGCCCCACCTCCTCCTCTTCCTCCTCCTCCTCCACCGCGGCCTCATGGTAAAACGTCTCCTCTCACTTGAAACTGAAATCTTAATAGAACATTTAAGTGCTTGAAACAAGTTATCTTGAAAATCATTTGATTTAAAGAATACCTATGGTTTCAAAACAAACTTTTTGAAAGAACTTTTTATAAAAACATTGTGCTCTGTTACATCATGTGTGGGGTGTTTTGTTTTAAAAAGATATGTAAATGTAGGGTCTCTGGGCATTTCAGCAGTTAAATTGTCTTCATTACACTGACTGCATACGTGAAAGCATATTTATGTTTTTCATAAATAATGTATATTTTCTGTCCCAACAGAAAGGGTCTTGTGAACAAATCAGACCATAACATTGCGTTCTTATCTTGGTAGAAACATGTTTTCTTCTGCATAAACTTGTAAGAAAGAGTGCTGCTAGTCACTATTTAACCCTTTGGGCTGAGACCTAATTGGCTGTGTGAGAAAGCTGGTCTGAAGATGTGACAGAGACAAAAACAACATGTGAAAAGTAGAACCAAACTATTAGGAACTATTTTATCACATGGTATTACATTTTGTTCTCATGGCCTACATTTTGACTTTTGCAATTTCCACTTTAGTCCTATTTCAAATGCAGTGGATTTTCTACTTCAGGTGGAACAAATGTTGCCATGTTTCACAGTGTATCTGTATTTATAACAAACATCTGCTGTCTTCTGTTTTCCTTATTCACTGTTATCTGCTGCACTTCTAACCTCATGTCTTTGTTAATGCAGTTTCCACATTGGGAGCAGTGGGGTCTGTCAACTATGAACCCAAGAGCAGAGAAGAAATGCTGAAATGTGAGTCAATCTAGGAAGATCCTGTCTGAAAATATAAGTATTGTTTTATGATGTATTTGAATGGGACAGTGTGTATTAATGAACTGCTTTAAATACACCACAATTGTTTAAAAAAAAAAAATCTGTATTATTGATTATTCATGGTATAAGTAGTAGGGGAAACCGGAGCAGGCGGAAATAAACCTGCAGAAAGAACATGCAAACTCAATTCAACTGAGTCTACTGAAGTCATTGAATAAAAAAGGGAACACGTCAGAAGATTTAAATAGAAACCTATTATTCTTTGTCTGCTTTAATCTATAATCAATGGATCAATTTATTTCTCAAACATAGATTATTTGTGTTATTGCAACAAAGACAAAGTGGCTCTTACTTCCTCTCTCTCGTTTGTCTCAGATCGTTTCGTCCCCACGATGGATCACAACACTGCGCATCGTCACCTCCAGCTCTCGGACGGCGGTCGTAAAGCCACTCTTAAAGCCGAAAACATGAATTATCCTGATTGCCCCGAACGCTTCCAGTTTTGGAGACAGGTCCTGTGCAGCCAGGCCCTGGGAGGCAGCCCGTACTACTGGGAGGTGGAGTGGACGGGGACCAAAGTAAGATTATTATTATTATTGTTACAGATTTGAATGTGGGGCGACAGTAGCTCAGTTGGTAGAGAATTCCATCGACTCTCACTGAGGTCTGCTATCGTTGTGTCCTTGGGCAAGACACTTATCCCCACTTTGCCTGAAGCCCCCGCTGAAAGATCAAGGCTGTGCTCACACTGACAGAGCAGCCGTCCTCCTGTAAGCTCACCACCTGTAGACCCCCCCCCCCCCCCCCACCCGCTCTGGAATGGGGTCTTGTTGAGGCTGATTTTGGGGGTCCCTGCCTGAGAATGTATAAAATCATGAATCTCTGGAAATTTTGCCACAGGACCTCTCTAGTTTTATGTCAATCATCTCCAGTCTTTCCCTTAGTGTTATGTCAGTCCTCTACTGCCTTTCATATTTTGTTGTGTATTTGTTTTTGTTTGAGAGATGTCGAATTCTGCACTTTGAGCCTTAATTTCACCCCCTGAACATGCATGAAAAGTTGTAAAATTTTGCCCAAACATCAGACCTGCTGAAAAATTTGAAAAATGTATTTTTATGGGACTCAAAAAATGCCAGAACAGCGCCACCTACAACAGCCAATGGGAGTTTCAGAGGTCAAGTTTGTCATAGAGCCATGAAATTTGGTACACATGTTCCTCAAGTCAAGATACGACCAAAATGTTATCATGGCTCCGCCCTCTGACAAACAGGAAGCCAATAAATTACACTTCAAAATGGACAAATGAAAAATGATCCCTTTCACCCGTGTCGGTTGGAAAGCGACTCCTCCTCGGCCGTTTCACCGATTTGCCTCAAAATCGCTCCACATCGTCTAAACACATGTACCATCATTTTGATTTCACAGACTTTTGATCAGTAAAACGTTGTTTGAGCAGCGGAGCGCCAAAAAGTGGCGTATTTTTTTTTTCAGTTTTTGACAATAGAAAAATTGCTTCCGTTTGCACAAACAAAGTCTGATTTGCACAAAACTTGAATCCATGGTTCAACTCTTGGGTCTAGGTCATTTGAAAGTAAAAAAATTGAAATTGGCTCTATAGCGCCACCTACAACAGCCAATTTAAAAACGCCTATGGGAGGGGTTCGAGGTCAAAATTGTCGTAGAGCCATGTAATTTGGTACACATGTTCCTCAAGTCAAGACATGGAAAAAATATTATTATGGCCCCGCCCTCTGACAAACAAGAAGCCCACAAATGTTACTGCAAAATGGAAAAATGAAAAGCAAACCTTTTCATTCATGTCGGTTGGAAAGCGACTCCTCCTCGGCCGTTTCACCGATTCGCCTCAAAAACTTCCACATCATCTCAACACATGTACCTTCAAAATGACTTCAGGGAAATTTGATCACTAAAACAATGTACGAGCAGCAGAGCGGCAAAATTTGACCTTTTTTGCCATTTTTTACGATGGAAAAACAGCTTCCATTTGCAAAAACAAAGTCTGATTTGCACAAAAACTTTAATACATTGTTCAACTCTAGGATCTAGGTCATGTACAAGTGAAATATTTGAAATTGGCCCATTAGCGCCCCCTACAGACTGAGGCAAAGTTTTACATTGGAAGCCAAACCAACTCAACTCATCATATTCATTACAATTTCACAAACTTTCTTTTATGGCTACGGGACCAAATAATGGCGCGGCGGCGCCACATCCAATAAGCGGCGTGGCGCGGCTTAGTCTTAGTCTTAAAAACATTATCTTGATTTTTACCACAGTTTTCCCAGCCGGACAATAACAAAATATGCAGTTATCCTATTTTAGCGCTTTAACAGATATTTAGGCATGCTGGGTAATCTTGTTCTTACCTGCTTCTCTCACAGGTGACCATCGCTGTGGCCTTTAAGGAGCTGGAGCGTGGAACCTCAGACGACGGCAGCCGACTGGGACACAACCCTCAGTCCTGGAGCTTGTACTGGTCTGGCACCGGCTTCTCCTTTTGGCACAACAACCAGGAGAAGCTGCTGGGGTCTCCCAAAGCCAAACGAGTCGGGGTCTACCTGGACCAGCACGCGGGGGTCCTGGCCTTTTACCGTATCAGCAAACTAAAGGCATATCTCATCCACCGCCACCAACAGGACTTCACCGGGCCGCTGCATCCCGGGTTTAGGGCCGGGCTGGGTTCTACTATCTCTATCTGTGAGCTGGACTGAGAGGAAATAAATTGTATCTGTCATGTGTTTGTTGCAGAAGAGACTGTCCTGGTACACATCCTAATGCAGGTGGAGTTTGTTGTCTACAGATGCATACAAATACAAAGATTTATCTATAATGATCAACTTGAACATTTGTTTTTGAGGCTCAATCTTTATTGTCTGTGAAAGTAATGTCTTGTTGCAAACACATTTAGGGTTGTAACAAATTACTTTTGAAAAGCAATTTCTGTAGTTTTTTGAGTATACTTTTGATTAAAGTTTAGTCATTTATCACAAAATATTAAACAAATCTTTATCACCTGCATGGAGGTTTTTCACACTATAATTAGGGCCGTAATTAATGATTTTGATGATCAATTAGTCTGTTCAGTATTCTTTCGCAAAATAATTTGTATTTCCTCTTTAAAATAATGTACTGTATTTTCCGGACTATAAACCGCACCAGATTATAAACTGTGCCTGTCCCACATTGTAATATTGAAAAATGTAGCTCAAAAACCTTCATCATGTTCTTTTTACTGTCAGTAATCAGAGTAAGAAGTGAGTATCTGACTGTTTTTAATCTTCCAGTGTGAAGCAGAAAGATAAGGAGCAACATCTACTGGTCTCTGTTCATGTTCATTTCTATACAAAGGCAATTGATTTGGACCTCTGTGAAGTACTCATCATTTCTGTGTTACTTGGCAAAAAAAAAATAAGCCACAGCTTTCAGTATGCAAGAAAAAAGCCTAGGCTTATAGTCCAAAAAATATGGTATATTTCTGACCATGGGGCACTGTACTATTGTGGAAACTACAGTAAGTCTTTTTCAATAAACGTATATATAAAATAGCACCTCCCCCTGGCATAACTAAAAACAGTACAATACAGTTACTGGAGGAGAAAAGTTAAACTAATGACAAAGGAACTCAAGGATTTGAAATCATTTTGACCAATCAGAAACCGCGTAGATGAGCATGGACGGGTCTGACCAGTGCTAATCTTATGTTCACTCTCTTCACAACTTCAAAAATAACACACAAAAGACATTTCATTTTACAGATTAGAAGTTTATATCACAAAAGGCGTCACAAAATATGACTTTTTCCTCTTTGCAGGTATGAGTCTGTTAAAAGATTGTTAATTTTAATCAAGTATTTCACAACAAATTCAATAATGGATGAGTTACTTGAGCATATTGATGTATATGTTGCTGGTTAAAGCTGCATGGTTGTGAAAAGGGTGGGCCCTGACAAGCTAATCACTAGTTGTAAATTTGTTTATCAGAATTGATCTCTGCAGCGACGTACCGTGACTGGTATAGGTGACAGTACAGTAACAGGTAAATGTTATGTATGGCTTTTCTGTACATTATCACCTTCTAACATATGGGAACCTTTCTTCCCTGTGGACAGATGATACCATGACCTAAATGCCCCGGGACAAAGCCTCAAAGGTGGGATCGAGAGACACAACCTGAGGGTGGTCAATTCACAGCAAAACAGTAATACTAAGGTGTGGCTGAAGTTACACAAACAATAGGCTTAAAGATGCATATAAAGACCCCAGACCCAAAGGCCAGAAGAGAGTGCTGCTGCCAACGCCATCATGAAAGGTACGAGCAAATTTACTTCTTTTTTGTGTGTGTGTGAAAATCATGTATATGGTTTTCTTATCCAAGTTGTTTTTATTCAGCTGTAGTTTGTAGTCTTGCTGTAGTCTTGCTGCCGATACACTGTGTCAACTCTCTGTCCAATGTGTACCCTCTATATTTAATTATAAGTATTTTACATTCACCATTTGATGTGGATGCTTCCAATTTTACAAACAAAAAGGACTGAAGTCTCTGGTTTGAATGACATGACTTGTTTAATTGTTGCTTGTCCAAATGGAAAATCATTTATCAAACTGTGGTAGCTAACTGTTTTGTGTTGTGTGTTCTCAACAGAACTTATAAAGGTAAAAATATGTCTTTATTGTAAAAGAGAGCCTTATGAGTCACTATTTGATGCGTTGGGCTGAGAGCTGATTGGCTGAGTGAGGTCGGTCCTCTCTTTTTCACTTTTCTGTCTGAAAAAGCTGATCTAAAGTTGAGAGAAGGCAAAACACAAATGCATGTGAAAACTTGTGATTTGAGAGCAATGGATTCTGTCACAATATACATTTGTTGTGGTTTAAAAGTTAGGTACCCCAGCTTTAAATGAGTAAAATCCTCATAATCATACCATACAGTTTAGTTTCTGTCTTGATTGTGGGTACGGCTTTATGCTGAGTGTGCATTGTTTTACTTTATTTATTACTATTTTATTATTATTATGAATTGAGACATTCTGATCTGTTTTTTCAGCTGCTGTGATCGTGTGTGTCCTGGGGCTGGCGCTAGCTCAAGACAACAATGTTCTGCAAAAGTTTAACGGTAGATTCAGTTGGAACTTTGGAGATCCTGGAACAGGCTCAAATTCAAACTCAAAGGACGGGGGAACAATCGGAACCGGAACTGGGACTGGGACTGGGACTGGGACCGGGACAGGGACTTCAACAAATGGTATCCACCTAAATCCATTATCTTATATATCATTATTTTCCCCCAATTCATTTCATTTATATTTTGCCTTTCCAGTGTGTGTGGCAGACCAAGCATCGTGTGGGTGCTGTCTCATGCATCAGATGATCGACAGGATGAAGAGGAGCTTTAACCACAGCTTGACAGAACTCCAAGGAGAACTCGACAAAGCAATGGACTTACTCAAGCAGTTCAGATGTGAGTTCAGTATTTATATAGAAACACTGGGACTAACACAGGCATCCTACATTCATGTCGTCAATATAGTCATAAAATGGCCATGTAAAAAAATAGATCCATTGACTTCCTGTTCAATATCCCTACTTATTATATGACTTGGACCGTACGCGCACTCTGATTTGTTGATTTGGGGTCTGATATTTTCCCATCTCGGACCGTTACCATGACAATTGGTCCGAACAGCGCGTATCACATTTTATATCTTTCCACGGACCGTTACCATGGCAATCGATCCACAGTCCGTATCACAATAAACCAAGTCGGACATGAACATACTTCACAAATATCTCAAAAGCATTGGTAAAGACACAGACGAGAGTCATATAATAAAACATTTATTAACCTCGCTTGCTCGGTCTGTGCAGAGAAATATCAGACCTTGGCCTTTTTGCACAGACCTCGCCACGGCTCGGTCTGTACATTAAGGCAGCAGTCTGATATTTCTCCATACAGACCTCACGCTCGGTTAATAAGCCGTTAATCATGATACATACGATTTTTTGAATTTTATATACTTTTTTCATACATTTTCATTTCAATAGTGCTTGGACACGGTTTTCAATATAAGATCAGATTGGGTGTGGAGCCATGTGAAGGTTTTTGCCGGCATATCTCATAATTTAGAAATCTTTAGAGGCTTGACAAGACAGAAGAATTCACAAGGTTGAGATTTTGATGTTTAAAAAAATATGATGGGAATCCACATTTAGATCAATTGCCACACAATATCTATACTTTAAACTATATCATATCGATGACTATTACTCTATCATAATATGTCTGCTTTTTAGGAATACCAATTCTCATTCTCATTTTTCCATAAAGAATTTAATCCTTTATGGAAAAAAATCTAAGTCAAATAGATGTTGCCTGAATCTTCCTACCTGTGACACATGTTGCTAAGCACTGATTACAGATATACCCCACCTTTACAAGTCTGTGTATTATGGCTCTCTGCATTTTCGTGTATAATTCTTTCATTTCATCTTTCATTCATATTAGTCCAAAACAAGGTAAATTTCACCTAAGAAACTGGCAACGTAAATGAGAGGCACATTGTTCGTCTGCGCGAAGAACCTGAAAAAATAAATGTTATGGGCATCCTGTAGTTTGAATTTAAAAACTCCACTTTAAACTTTTGTTCAGGAAATGCAAAAAAAAAGGGTTCTTGTCCCATCTCATTCTTTGAGCCCTCTCTCATCTCTCTCCACAGCTTCTCGCAATGCCTTCTCTGTCGCCCTCTTCACCGACAACACAAAGAGATGCTACGGTCCTTTCAGAGACGACACCCTGGTCCAGTACAAGCACATCTTCCTCAACATGGGAAACCACTACGACGACACCACCGGGATCTTCACCGTCCCACGCACTGGGGTCTACAGCTTATCCCTCACCGTCTACAGTGACGCCGGGGCCCCTGGGAACACCCTGGCCGCTTGCGCAACTCTCCAGGTGAACGGACGCAAGATCACCGCCCCGAGAGAGGTGGGCATGCAGGACTCCGAGGACAGCGCCAGCAACTCCATCGTGATCAAGCTGCAACTGGGAGACAAGGTGACCATTAATCTGCCCATCGGCTGCTTCCTCTGCGATGACAAGAACCACTACAATACGTTCAGTGGGTTCCTGCTTTACATGACTGAATGAAATCACATAAGCAATAAAAGTCTTTGAATGTGTTTAAGTTACATTAGCTATTCCCATAGAACTAGGACATGCAGGGATGGCCACATTTGTTTTAACATATAATACATATATGTTCAAAGACAGACCAAGTAGACGGCCATGGTGAGAAATTCAATGGATAATTCAAAACAAGTTATATTTTTCAAGAACTATCACACATTTAGTTAGTACTACAACATTAATGAGGTAATGTTGGTGCAATGCAGTGCAAATATGAATATTGTAATAGAAGGGGTTTATTAAAATGTGTTCAAAAAGAAATGTGTTTACCAGGAAGTTTCAGGGGCAAGAAAATAGCCACATGTTGTTTCCTAGTTTGGAAAGAGATAAGTTGTTCTGAAATATTGAGGTCTTTAGATTTGGTCGATACAAAATTATAATGGAATGAGATAATGCATATCCAGGACATTTAATTTCCACATTACTGAACGTCTACAAAAACATTAGAAGGAACCTCATATTTCTAAGGAGATCCCTTTTGACACGTAAACTTTTGCGTTTTCTGGATTGGCGAAAAACATAGATCTGACTCAGAATTCACTGTTCGTCCATGTGTAACTATTCAATTAATCTATGGATGTTTTGACACCTTTTGTGCTTTTGAACAATAAAAATATCACATACAATCACCACAGACTGAGATTTTTATTAGTCAACACACTTCATAGTTTACAAGAAAAGTTTCTAAATTGCCTGAACAACTTAAACTAGTCCACTTTGCATTTTGTATTCACGAAGAGTATGGAAGATTCAAAAAGGATTTTATCTTATCTACGAATTTAGTCTTTCTGCATGGATATTTGGAGAATCTAAAGAGGACTTTAGATGTTGAGTTCTACCAGTATTTGACAGTGCTCATATAAGAGGGTTATGAGGTATATCTGGGTTAAATTCACACTTGGGACCTGCTTTCAATGGTTCCATCTCTTTGGAAAATGGACAAAACCCTGCACCAGTTCAGGTAAAAGTCTTTTTTTATCAAATGGGAGCAGTTTTTCCCCCACGGACCGAGCAACAATGGTTCACATGTGGGAATGAGCACAACCATATATCAAATAATGCATAAAACCACACAGCAGAAAGGGATAAAGGTGGTTGAACCCAAAGCAAGTTTCAGTTTTTTCTTGTGGATTCATGCAAGAACGACCAAACTGTCTTCATCTGTACTCATCAAAATGAATGGTAAGACTCTATTACTATTACTTATTACGATTATTTCATATGAGGTCTGCTGTTTTGATTGGGTGTCTTGGGGATGGATTTTAAAACTATTTTCAATGAATTCTTCTCAAAACCATTTTCAATTCCCTAACTGCTAATACATAAGCTCTGTGATGACTATAAATTAGTGGATGAATTAAACCAAGAGTTAAACACAGCTATGGAATAAATAGTTTGTAACCTGGGCAGAAACAGTCCAAATAAAGGTTTTGTCAAGCTTTTAAAAGGATTTATCAAAATAATGTATAGTTTCTCAAGCCCGTGTATTCACCAGATTGTACCAAATTTCCTCGACTTGATCAAGAAGAAATTGATCTCTCCTTATTGAATTGTTAATTGCATCAACGCTTTTTTTTTTACAGTTTACAAATGCACTTTAACCATACTGTAACTTTCCTGTCCATGTAGTGTTGAGTTTTTCAGCGGCTGTGACCCTCTGTGTTGTGGGACTGACACTGGCCCAAAACAATGATCCACCATCATTTTGGAGTTTTTTAAATTTCCAATGGAACGCGGATGGAGATAAAAGTACCTCCGGCTTTCTGAATTCGAAGGACACTGGAGGCAATGGTGGAGGCAATGTTGAATCTAACAACGGTATCTATTCATTGTTTTCTTTCGTTCCGTAACACTATAAGACGACTTTCCAGTACAAAAAAAAAAACGTATGAATCCGATAAGTGAGCAATAAATTAAAGAAACTCCCTCAGTCGCGATCATCAGGATGCTTGGCTTGATCAGGGTGGAGAATTTTTCCCCATACACTGCTAAAAGTGATGGGAAAATTGGTAAAATATTGCTCAAATTTGGCTTAATGTGTCTTAACATGAGCACGTTTTGACTTAAAACAAGATTTGCCAATGGAACAACAAAAAATATCTTGTTTTTAAAAATATAGAAGAAAAAAATTGATTGTTGATTGAAAAATGTACTGATTTAAGCAGCTATTACCTCATGTTTGATATTTTTTAGCAGTGAATGTTGGCCTGGGCTGTACTTTGAGGAATTCGCATGTTTACCGCATGTCTGGGTGGGGTTCCTCAAGGTGCGCCGGCTTCCCCTACCACTAAATAACATACACCAGTAAAATCCTACAGCTCCGTTCCAAACCAAGCCAAGCATCGACATAAGAAGATGGGTCGTCTGCTCCTGACAACCTTATATTTGTTCCTGTGGTGTTTTCAGTGTGTGTGGCAGACCAAGCGGCGTGTGGCTGCTGTCTCATGCATCAGCAGATCGACAGGATGAAGAAAAGCTTTAACTACAGCCTTTCCTTAATGGAGAACCAACTCACCCAAGCAGTGAACGCACTGAGCCAGTTCAGATGTGAGTCCAAAAGTTGACTTTGTAATACTTTCAGAAAGACATGGTCATTTAAGTTCAACAAAGCTGCTTCATCAAAGGTGGGGTATCAAACTTATTTTTTCAGAAGTAATACATTATACAAAGCAAACCTGACTGGAAGAAACATCCATCCATCCATTTTCTTCCCCTTAATCCATTTCTGGGTCAGGGGGGTGGCAGTCAGAGCTGCACCCAGTACACAGAGCACCAGCCCCTCACTGATCCTCCTGCAGGTGGTGAGTCCACAGGAGCTGAGATCTTTCAGTGGGGGCTTCAGGCAAAGTGGGGTTAAGTGTCTTGCCCAAGGACACAACGACAGCAGACATCAGTGGGAGTCGTGAAGTAGGTCTTACGATGGGCTCAAACCAACGACCTTCAGGCTCAAAGGCCAATGCTCTACCAACTGAGCCACTGTCGCCACACTGGAAGAAACAGAGCTGCCAAAATTGTATTGTTTCTGCTAATATTTGGGAAGTCCATGGCGGGAGCATTTGTTAGTCAGCTCAGGACATTAACGTGAATGGGTCAGTCATCTTGGATCAGTGTAATTTCTCCAACACATCTGCCCAAAAGCACACACTACACACTGTGCGCTTTGTGTCCTCTTGGATTATTGAATATTGTTCAGTGTGAATAAAGATATAGTGGTATAATCTGTACAAAAGCCATTGAAATGTATAACATTTGAGTCAATGGTTGAAATTTGTTGGTCTGGATTATCGGTCTAGATCAGACTCAAAAAAATGACAAAAGATTCAGAGGTCTGGGATTGTGTCTCAGCAGAAGACATGTTATTGTCTTTGCAGATTTGCAGCGTGCATGGGATTTTAAACCAGACGAATCAAGGTCTTCCTCTCAGCATCTGCGACAATGGCAATAGATATGATAGCTTTGTCCAGATGCATCAAGTGGAAAATCATTCATTAATTCATTTTCTAACCCTTTATCAGTCAATTTCTGTGTTAGCGGGGTGACAATCAGAGCTGCCACTCAAAGCTCATAGCTCCAGTCCCTCGCTGATCCTCCTGCAGATGGTGAGTTACAGGAAGATGGCTTTTCCATCTTCTTCAAGTGGGGTTAAATATCCTACTCAACGACAGCAGACATTAGTGGGAACAGTTGGAGTAAGTCTCGGTTGGCCAATGGTCTACCACCCGAGCCACTGTTGCCCCCAAGTGGAAAATCACTTACATCAAAATTGTCAAAAAAGATCTACTCATGTCCAAACTATGGCCCTCAGGATTCTGATTTAGCAAACTTTCTAACATTGCACATTTCTTTCCACTTCCCACAGCCGCTCGTAGTGCAGTCTCTGTCGCTCTCTTCACTGACAACACACAGAAATGCTACGGCCCCTTCAGAGACGACACCCTGGTTAAGTACAAACACATCTTTCTGGACCTGGGAAACCACTACGACGCTTCCAAAGGGGTCTACACTGTCCCGATCACTGGGGTCTACAGCTTGTCTGTCACAGTCTACAGCAACGCCGGGGCCCCTGGGAACACTCTGGCTGCCTGCGCTACTCTCCAGGTGAACGGCAGGTCACTGATTTCACTGAGAGAAAAGAACCAACAAGACCCAGAGGACAGCGCCACCGTCTTTGTTGCGCATTTGCTGAATAAGGGCGATACGGTGTCGGTCAATCTGCCCATAGGATGCTTCCTCTGTGATGACAACCACCACTTCAATACTTTGAGTGTGTTTCTGCTCTACATCACTAATGTTTAGCAGCGCAACTATGACAACGCCACAACAACCATACTCTTATTTCAGAATCATAAAACTTGGATTTTTGTTAGTAACTTTTAGAATTATGTATTTATTTGTTTGTATGGATGGATGTTTTTCTGCTTCTGGACACCTGAATTTCTCTTACTGCGATCAATAAAGTATCTATCCATCTATCTATATCTCCATCTAGATTTCATTTGGACTGATCACATTCTGCAACAACAATGTTCTACTGGGCATGGATTTATTTTCTTTTTCTGGATTGCACAACGTATCTTTGAATGCATAAAATAAAAAAAGATGTGTATTATATGATGTGCTGTAAGTTTTTTTTATTTTTCAAAAATGTTTTTATCTACATTTTACATGGGGGCACACAAGTGTTAAAATTATGTATTTGAATGCACTATCAGACTTTTTAATATAAAGAATAGTACTCCTTACACACACACACACACACATAAATATATGTAGGGTGAGAAAATGTCGATATCACACATAACTTAAGTTATGTACCTGATATCGGAGAATTGGATAAAAACAACCAAACAGTAATTGATAATAGCTTTATTTAGGGGCACCAGGGAATAACTCCCAACTGATGACGTGCATATGACGTCACAATATCAATTAATTGGCTCATTTATTGATTAAGTAATCTCATGAGTCCTTTCATTATTTAATTAGCTAATTAGTCCAATTCTCTTCAATAGAATCTGAAGGTAGTGAATTCTTTTACAAATCAGTGACCCAATTTCTGGAGTTAAAAGTACAAATATCACTTTCAGACAAAGATGGTTTTGTAGATTTAATTAAGTATACACAATACAGACTAGATATGAAATATGCAAATTGTCAAGAATAACATGAAGGAAACGTTGATTTCAAGATACATTGTTAAGATGCTAGGCTAAAGTGAGCTAAGCAAGACCTTTGTCTATGAATGGATTGGTATAGGCTGAGGCCTGCATGTGTTCAGCCTTGGTAGGAGAAGTATTCTTTGAAGTATAGGTTTTAATAAAGCCAACAGCTGTGTGTAGCAAGAGCGCAGATCATACAACCAGAATAGCCTTTGGTGAATAGCAGTCCTTGGGTCTTGATGGCGTTGGATGGAGGCTTCTTGTCCCAGGGCCTGGACCATGCGGCTGCATCATGTGGTCCTCCCACGATCCACAGTCTAGGTGCCAAAACTCAGCAACTTCTTCAGGTTGAAGCTGGAGGCTATTGAAGGGTTGTGGAAGTCCTCTCAAACGTGGAGCTGAGGTTTGAGGCCGTCTAAGAGGCCCAAGGCCCCTTGGTTGCCTAAGCAGAGCCCAGGGCAGAGCCCAGGGCAGAGCCCAGGGAGGTCTCGTCACTCCGTGGTTCCAAAGCAGACTGGTTTTTCTTCCCTTGTTGTAGAGCCGTTGGGGGAAGGGTGTTGCCATGGCACTTATCTTAAGACATTCTTGCCCACAATAAAACCTGAACCACAAGGATTTACACACAGTGGAGACAGAAGTTATAATATGTCTCAATATACAACAAAATGTCTTTGATTGAGGAAAGAGGTCATTTTAATTTATCCTACATATATATATAAAGGTAAAGGTAAAGGTGCACTTTATTAATCATTTATTAATTCATCCTATGCTTTTGATGTTGATGTTCGGCTTGGTCAGGACTACCAGAGCTGGAGGATTTACTGTAAATTATGCATGAATAAATATATATATATATATATATAAAAATAAATAATTGTCCACTCACCTTTGGCCCTCCGCGGGCGGTTATCCCTCTCTAAGCTCGGGTCCTCTACCAGAGGCCTGGGAGCTTGAGGGTTCTGCGCAGTATCTTTGCTGTTCCTAGCACTGCACATTTCTGGACCGAGATGTCCGAGGTTGTTCCAGGGATCCGCTGTAACCACTCTTCTAGCTTCGGGGTCACTGCCCCGAGTGCACCGATCACCACGGGCACTACTGTCACCTTTACCCTCCAGGCCCTCTCCAGCTCCTCTCTGAGACCTTGGTATTTCTCAAGCTTTTCATGTTCTTTTTTCCGGATGTTACCATCGCTTGGAATTGCTACGTCCACCACCACGGCTGTCCTCTGCCCTTTGTCTACCACCACGATGTCAGGTTGGTTTGCCATTACCATTCGGTCGGTCTGTATCTGGAAGTCCCACAGGATCTTCGCACGCTCATTCTCCACCACCTTTGGAGGAGTTTCCCACTTAGACCTTGGGGTTTCCAGCCCATACTCTCCACAGATGTTTCTGTACACTATGCCAGCCACTTGGTTATGGCGTTCCATGTAGGCCTTCCCTGCCAGCATCTTGCACCCTGCAGTTATGTGTTGGATCGTCTCAGGTGCCTCTTTGCACAACCGACACCTTGGGTCCTCTGTGCTGTCCTGTAGGCCAGCCCTTTCTAGCCATTGGTAGGACTTCTTGAGATCAGCCACTTCTGTTATGCTCCGGTGGTACATGCCGTGTAGGGGCTTGTTCTCCCATGATGGGCTCTCCTCCAGCACCTCCTCATCTCGCCACTGCCTGAGACATTCACTGAGTACGTCATCCGTTTTGGCCTTCTCCATGATGTGGTTATGGAGTTTGGATGTTTCGTCCTGGACAGTGGCTCTCACACTCACTAGTCCTCGGCCTCCTTCTTTACGGCTTACGTACAGTCTCAGGGTGCTGGATTTGGGATGGAACCCGCCATGCATGGTAAGGAGCTTTCGAGTTTTAACATCCGTGGTCTGAATCTCTTCCTTTGGCCACCTGATTATTCCTGCAGGGTATCTGATCACTGGCAGGGCGTAGCTGTTAATTGCCCGGGCCTTGTTCTTGCCATTGAGCCGGCTTCTTAGGACCTGCCTTACTCGCTGGAGGTATTTGGCAGTTGCCGCTTTCCTCGTCACCTGTTCGAGGTTGCCATTTGCCTGTGGTATACCGAGATACTTGTAACTGTCCTCAACGTCTGCTATTGTTCCCTCTGGGAGTGAGATCCCTTCTGTGTGGACTACCTTGCCTCTCCGAGTCACCATCCTGCTACATTTCTCGAGCCCGAATGACATCCCGATGTCATGGCTGTAGATCCTGGTTGTTTGGATCAGAGAGTCGATGTCTCTCTCGCTCTTGGCGTACAGCTTGATGTCATCCATGTAGAGGAGGTGACTGATATTTGCTCCGTTCCTGAGGCGGTATCCATAGCCAGTCTGGTCAATTACTTGGCTTAGAGGGTTGAGGCCTATGCAGAACAGTAGTGGGGACAGAGCATCTCCTTGGTAGATACCACATTTGATGGTCACTTGTGCGAGCGGCTTGCCATTTGCCTCAAGGGTGGTCTTCCACATTCCCATCGAGTTTGCAACGAAGTCCCTTAGAGCCCTGTTGATATTGTACAACTTCAAGCATTCCATGATCCATGTGTGTGGCATTGAGTCGTAGGCTTTCTGGTAATCAATCCAGGCTGTGCACAGGTTGGTGTGTCGTGACCGGCAGTCTTGGGCGACTGTTCTGTCAACCAGGAGCTGGTGTTTGGCTCCTCTGGTGTCCCTACCAATGCCCTTCTGTGCTCATGAATTGTTCCATATGCCCACTTATCTTAGCCGCAATGATGCCTGACATGACATGAGAGACAGGTTATTGGCCGGTAGTTGGAGGGGACTGCACCCTTGACAGGGTCCTTCATGATCAGGACCGTTCGCCCTTCGGTTAGCCATTCTGGGTGAGTCCCATCTCTCAGCAGCTGGTTCATTTGTGCTGCTAGGCGCTCATGGAGTGATGTGAGTGTCCTTAGCCAGTAGGCATGGACCATATCAGGGCCAGGTGCTGTCCAGTTTTTCATACCTGAGACTCTTTCTCGGATGTCTGCCTCTGTGATGGTAACTGAGTTCTGTTCTGGGAGGTGGCTGTGCTCCAGCTATTGTGCACTTCTGTTATGTGCTGCATCCTTCTCCCATATGTTCCTCCAGAACTGTTCAGTTTCCAGCCTCGGTGGATCTGCTCCCCTGTTGTTACCCTGCCACTGAGCGTACACCTTCGCAGGTTGTGTTGCGAACAGCCTGTTCACCCTTCTGGCTTCATTCTCTTTAGTGTACCTCTGTAGGCGGCTGGCCAGGGCTTGGAGCCTTTGTTTGGCAGTTTCGAGTGCTTCAGGGTATGGTCATCTGGCTGTACTTTCTGGGTACTGGTCTTTTCATTGCACCTCTCTGGGCCTCTGTTAATTGACTCACTTCTCTCCGAGAAGTGTATATATATATATATATATATATATATATATATATATATATATATATATATATATATATATATATATATATATATATATATACATATATAATGTATATAATGTCAAATATAGTTTACTTTATTGTAGATTTATGTATTCAGAACAGGTTGGCCTAGTTTCCATATAATTTTGCATAACAACAGAATTAACCCAAACCCTTTTCCTGAGTATGTAAGTAGTTTATATTTATAAAGAATATTTCACAAACCAGGGTAACATCATGCACTTCAGAATCCATATGGTAATGTGTTCATACCATGTTTCATCATTAATATTATAGAAGCACAAACGGTAAGATGCGTTATTCTTTTAATTTTTTTATTCATCAAACACTAACACATACTGAAGTGAAAGCAACATAAGGCAAACTTAGTCTAATTGTACAAAGCTTGAGCTGTTTTTCAAAGTAGAAAATAGACAGTTTTTTACTCTTATGCAATGTTGTTTTCATTTCAATAAACATACGTTAACATTTTGATCAGAAAAAGCCAAATATTATTATTGCTTACTGACGGATATAGGATGTAGATGCAATTTAAACGCTTGGTCGGCCATATCAAATACTCAAACAGGCCCGAACCATTCAATACTTTGGATGGGTAAAGGAGAAAACAATTTGAACTAAAGCACAAAAAATTGCTTTTATCGCTAGTTTTCTCACACATGCATATTCACCTTTGTCACATGTTTAGATCAGCTCTTCCAGACTAGTCGAAAAAGATAATGTAAGACTTTAACAGGCACTCGGAGCGCACAAACCCCGCCAAGGCAGTGGACTATTTGAATGGGGTCTTTCACCATCACATCCCAGCATCAAATGAGCAGTTTTTGCACATTCCTGGCAGACACTCATGCACACACAGACACACACAGAGGTCACATTACCCGTTGGGCTGATATGGACCAAATTCTCAATATTCTCAATAGACAAATGAAGGTGAAAAACTCCCGCCCTTCTATATTTGTCATTGGTTGCCCCTTTATAATCTGTGTGCATCTTTCACTGTTGACCTGTTCACTGTGTATATTATAGATTGTGTATCAATGTATATACTGTATGCTTTACTTAAAGGTTTGTATATAATGGAAAGGGACCTAGTGTCAACCCCTGCGGGACTCCATGTAAACGGATTATTACTGATTGAAGAATGAAGGTGAAAAACTCCCACCCTCTTATGTTTGTCATTAGTTGGCTTCAGCTGTTGTCCACTGCAAGCATTGAACATGGTTTGTGGTTGGTGTCTGTGGTGTGTTCAAGTGCAATTGTGAAAAATGTATTCATTGATTGCAAGAGCTGCAAGAATTGTTGTTGTGTTTGTCCATATATTGATATTGATGTGCTTCTTAAACATTGTGCAGCCATACTTTTGCAGACAAAACAAATAATATTATTTATGAAAAGGAAAATGTTGGGTTCCCCAGCTTTAACTGTCACAATACATGTCTGCATAGAAATAGTGGTAATTACTGTATATTGGCCATAAATACAGAACTCTTTCCCTCCACATTCTTCTGACATGAACCTTTTATCAACGACACAATATCCTCCAACCAGCCCATCCCATCCCATTTGTTCTTTCTTTTTTTTCTTTTTGTTTTTTTAAATCTCCAGCCCATTTTTGCCACGAGCTCATCCCTGCAGGGTGTGGGAACAAGACAAAGACGAAGGCAGTGCTTTCAAGAAGGACGTCAAAAAACAAAGATGAAGAATAAAAGTGAAGTGCACAGGGAGGAGCTATCAGAGGGTATATATCATAGCTGTCGTGAAGCCGGCCAGTCAAATCTTCTCAAAAGTACAGGTGCCGTGTATACGTTCCATCATGAAAGGTGAGAGGAGAAAATGTAAAACTCTATATTTCGGCGTTTAACAAATGTTACTTTGAACATTCTTGAAATATGTATATACTCATTTAGATGTATGGAGCTTGTATCCCTCTTTTTTGGATGTATGTTTTGTTATTGTACTTTGTTATAATATGTAAAAACAGTTTTAAATATCCAGAAGTGCAAATTGGTCTGATTTCAAGTTGTTAATACTGTTTTTTACCCCTTGCACAGTTTTTATCGTCTTGTGTGTCGTGATGGGGAGCAGCTTGGCCAGCGCTCAATGTAAGTGTAATCCAATTTCTTTGATCTGTCTTTTAGTCTCTGTACTCTAACAGGCATCTGATCTCTTCCCTGCAGCTATGACCTGCGTTGATAGAGTGTGTGGCTGCTGTCAAACCCAGAAACACCTTCAACGCTTGGACCAGTTCTTCACCGAAGTTTACACCAAGTCGTATGAAACGCTCAACAAGACCAAGCAAGCTCTCGATAGCAGGAGAGGTACATTTATAATACCATCATATCATAGATAGCAGAGTTTATCAGTGGAGGTGGGCAGAGGAACAACTAATTCTACTAACCAATAGAACATGTAAATTCAGGTGGAACTTGGAAAATTAGAATATTGTTCAAATGTTGTTGTTTTTTGCTTAAGCTTTTGGCAAATATTGTTTTAAGAATAAAATATAAAGCTAGTTTTGTCTAGTTTGTCTACCTTCAATAAGTAATGGACACACAGCATTTGAGTGGTGCAAGAAAATTTTACCTTTACTCACAGTGGCAAGACTATCCAAAACGATTGTTATGAAAAATACAAGGGTAGTTTTTTTTATCTCAGAAATGTAAAAAAAAAAAAATGATTTGATGATCTCTTCAAAATTACAGAATACTAACAGCCCCGTTATAGACTTTTTTAAAAATAATTTTAAACTTGCCTTACGTATGGGCATGTATAAATAGAAGAGGACCTAAAGTCGACCCCTGTGGGACTCCATTGGGACTTAATTTCATTTTACCTTTCCTCTGCATTCTTAAAGATAATAACCAAAACGGATAAAAGGGGTACGAAAAACATTTTTTGGAAGCTGCTTTTGGAAGTGCCCAGGTCAAAAAAAAAAAAAAATATTGTACATATATTTTATGGTCAAATATTGTGTTCGTCATATGTGTTAATGTTTATACTGGAGTGCTCTGCTCTTCAATCCCCTGTAGTTTTAAAAGTGTCATACAAATAAACTTCATGTAAATCCTTTCTTATTCATCTTATTTCTTTCCTTTTAGCGGCTCGAGTTTCTTTCTCCGCCGTCCTCACTGACACCTCTCAGGACTGCACCAGCCAAGAAGCGACTACTGTGCCACAACGCGTCATATTCAACTCGGTGAGACTGGACAGTAACAGCTACTCCACCACCACCGGGGCCTTCACCATTCCCCTCTCTGGCGTCTATGTTATCGCCGTCACCATCTCCAATTTCGACAACTACAAGTCCTGCGCCAACATTGTTGTGAAAGGCGAAGTAGTGTATAAGCTCGATGAGAGATCCGTATCCGATACCCAGGATAGTGCCAGTGCCGTAGTACAAGTGTTCCTCTCCCCCGGCGATGTGGTGTACGTGGAACAGCCCGCCGGTTGCAAATTATGCGCTCATGAAAATCTTTTGAATACAATGACTATTTATATGTTGTATTCTACAGATTGAGCAAATACAAGCTGACGCAATGTTAAGTAAATGCTGTTAGTTTCAATAAAAGTATTTGATTCTTCTATACCGTACAACAGTAACAGTCACATGTCGAGGTAATAACATCTCTGACTTACTGTTGTCGGGTTTAGAAGAACCAGATGCTTGTATTGCTACCGAGAAGACAAGATGACTTTACTAAACTGCTTTTAATTTCTCTGTCCAAAGTACTTCAATGATCAATGTAACCTCTCTTTCGCCTTTCACAGCCAGTTGTAATCAAATGACTAAATGTGCAGCTCGTGAACTTCAATAAACCAGATTTGAAATGTGTTTGTTGGTTATTCCTTGGTATGAATAAAACTAAGAAATGCAATCACCTAAAAGCAATGTCACACCTGGACTAGTAAAAGGGGACCATGCAAGCTTTTAAGATGTCCAAACTATGCCACCCCTCGGGAAAATTGCATACCTATTTTTTTCTTTTAACTTAGATATATACCAATTGATACTTATCTATAAAGCTAAAAATGTAGCTCTATCTTGTGTCTTAAATTTACTTATTTGAACAATTTTGTCAAGGTAACTTAAGGTTGACCTCCATAGTTTATTATTTCAACATATTGACATAAAAATTCTAGTTGTTTTGACATTTTCATTTACATTTATTTAATCAGGATTGTCCCAATGAGAGTCAGAATCTATTTTGTTAGCGGAGTCCTGGTCCCAGAAGGGGAGGTTTATTGTTCATCTTTAAAATCCTGACCCTTCGAACGCTTCATTGCCAAGCTCAAGGCAATTTATGAAGCACCTTTGAGAGTCGTAGTGCTCTATGAATAAAGTGACTTACTTACTTACCTTTAGTGGTAGGGTTAGGGTTACCTGGGAAAAGGCTCCATGCCGAAAGTCTTGCTTAGATGTGAGAGAATTATACTAGTTTGTTGGTGGGTTCTTTTTCATTTTTTTTTTACCAAATAAAAAACTTGTTTTATTGTCTTTCTAAAGCTTCTGTTACATTATTTGAAGTCAAGAGATGCAAGTGCAACTGTGTTTTGCGTCGCTGTAACTTGGATGTGGTCAATCACAACAATTACCTTTAGTTAATATAAAGTGGGCATACACAAATTGATTTTGTCCATATATTTGCAGATTATTCAATTATCCAATATAAAATATACACTGTGGGTATATATTGTTTTTTTGATATTATTATTATTATTATTATTTTGCTTAATTCACAAAATCATAGCTTTTAGTCACAACTTTGTGATCAAAACCACATGATAAATTGAAATATGAGATCTTTATTGTAACATAATGAATGTTTAAGCTGTCAGATAATTGTTTTTATTTTGCCCAATTTTTATTTTATTTTAAGGATATGAACGGAGAGATTTTTTCCAGTTTATTACAATTATTATGAATTAAAACACAATTCCAAGGGCTCTGTCTCAGCAAGAAAAGTTATAATTTCTAACATGTCACTCAGACTTTAAAGCTGAGATACCAAACTGAAATTAATGTTAGAGTAAACGTTTGTGAACAAATAAAACCACCACATCAACTTTCTCTTATGGAAAACGTGTACGTTTGTGCATAGATTCCTGCACAATTTGATACTTTGGGCTGAGAGTGGGGGTGGTCCACTCTTTTTCACTTCTCTTCACATTTTCTCAATTTCTTACATTTGCATTTTCAATCAAATTCTCATTACTTCAAGCGTTTCAGATTATTTCATACTTCTGTTTTTAAGAGGTTGGAACTTGCAAAAAGTGATGAAAGATGAGTCAAAAAGTCAAAATTGGCAAAACGTATTATAATTTGAGCACATTTTCATTTCCAGCCTCAAACAATATTTGCCAAGCAAATGAATCTTGTTTTAAAAAGATACAAGAAATGTCTCTCTTGGAATGAGAAAATAAAGTGACTGTTCTGAAATAAAACTAAATAGCTTGACCCATTGGTTAATATTGTTTTAAGACAGTCAGACAACAAATGTTATCCATAAATGCATGAACTTAAGAGCAAGGAACTAATTCAATGGCTTTTATTATATAACTAGATTCTCATGATCTGAAATGTACGTACCCCAGCTTTAACTTTTGCGTGACACAAGGATAGAGCAGTCGTTCAGTGCATCACTCCCTGCGCTAATGCAGCCATTATAGTCGCTGACCCAGAAACGCTAGTGTCGGTCCATTGTTTTTTCCTTTTTTGTTTGTGGAGCTCAATCAGATAAGGAAATGACACCTGAACGTTCCCAGAAGAGGTGAGCGGCCGGGGCGTGTGAATATACAGCAAATTGTTTATTCTCAAAACGTATGTGCAACATTTTGGCGTCCCGTTGAATGAGATCAGTGAGAGGGCGGGGCTTACGGCAAATATATAAAGTAATGGCAAACATTTCTGCATGACTTTGAATTCTGTTTGTCACTCTGAGCACGTCCACGTCTCACAGACAAAATGAAAGGTAAGACAAAATAGTTCATATAAATAGTTATATGACCCTTTTTTGCAGCTGATTTAAATTGTGTTGTGAGAATTAAATCAAAAGCAATGCAACATACTAAAAACAATACAACAGGCTTACCAAGATGCTGGATAATTTTTTTTTTGTGCATGTCAAATTAATTTAACTTCCTATTGTGATCAACAACGTCTACATGATCATGGAAATTTTAAACTTTGATATTAAAGCTTTAGCGACTCAATCAAAGACCATTTTAAAATAAAAACGAACGTTTAATAAAATGACCTTTTATTAAATGTTCATGTTTGAAATCTGTTCTCTTGTTCTGGACAATTAATAAATACTGTGTTTTTTCTTTCCTCAGTGCTCCTATTCCTGATTGCTCTGAAAGTATGTAGGATTACAGCAAGCAATTTTTTGTGGAAAGAGGTTTCATTTCCTACTAATGCCTTCGATGATGATGAGGCAGAAGCCCTACGTAAGTTTGATTGTTGTGAGAAATGTTTGCATGCCAAAGTCGTGGGCTTCCATTTATTACAGTTTTATGGATTTTGTTGACTGTACCAAACCGAACAAGTGTAAAGAGAGGCAATGTATCACTTTGTCCTAGAATAATAATTAGCTTGAGATAAGATTTGAACTATGCATTAAATAAGACCAGAGTTGGCGTGCTGTATATGTCTACGATATTTCACTATCTGTCTATCAACCTGTCTATCCATCTAGCTCTATACTATCTCTTTGTGTGTCTTGTTCGCAGCATGTGAGGCAAGCAAAGATAACTGCCACTGTTGCCTGATGGTGCAGAAAGTGGACAATGCAAGAAAGAAGCTGTTTGAAAAACTGAACGCTCTGGAGGCGGATTTCAACCAAACCCAAGCCACTTACTTGGAGATGAAAAGTAAGAATACATTATGCAAAGACCTATTTATTTGTACAGGCCTTTGCTTAACGGCCTTTTAGTGAAGGACTTTGTGACCCTGGTCTGTGTGCTTTATTACTTACTTACTTATTTTCTTGTGCAAATGTGTATAATTTTAAACATGTCATTAACACACTAATCCAAAGTCTAACATCTTCCTAACTACTACTGCCAATCCTTGAGTCTGATCTGGTTTATTCTTGGCAGCTCAACAATTCAATTAAATTCAACTTTATTTTTGTACAGCCCTGATTCACTACAACAGTCGTCTCGGAATACTTCACAAAGTTTTCGATTCCTGAACAACAGATCAGAGAATCGAACAGTTTGAACACAGGGAATTTAATAATAACAAACCCATAGGAACCAATGTCCATGAATTGTCCATATACTTTTCCTTAAACATTTATATTTTCCTTAAAAAAAGATATACAAAAGCAGTGTAAAGAACACACATAATATTCACACATACAATATCAAATGCTCGTTAGAAAATAAAATAGATTTGGACCGCTTGCTAAACTGGGCAACGTATCACAGCGTTAGGCATATCCAAACCAAGGCCCGCGGGTCAATTGCAGCCCTCTGTGTCCTCTTGCATGGCCCTTCACTGTGTCATCCAGCCAACCAAAGCTCCACCAATACACACCACATTTTATATGATATTGAACAGAATCGTCTCCTCCTGCTGTAGCCAATTGTAAACTTTTTCTAATCTGGAAAGTAAAAGTTTTTAGTTTTCCCTTAAATTGGCCTCATAATTCACATATTGATACCATTAGGCAGAGCTTTCCATTTACAAGGAGCACATAGAGAGAAAGCTGCTTCTCCTTCAGTCTCGTCAGTCTCACAAAAGGAACGGCGAGAAGGTTGAGATAGACAGATAGATTCAAGGACTGCACTTGTTTTGAAATGTACTCTTATTTTGACTTCAGTTCTGTAATTTTGTTTTAGTTTGACTTCCTATTTTGTTCCTCTGTTAATTGTCATTTATCTATTTTTGCAGCTAAACAGTCTGCTTTCACCGCTGCATTGAACGAAGACGCTACAAACATGAATTGCGTGGGCCCCTTTGATTCTGTCAGAACCTTGGCATACAAAAAAGTCTTCACCAACGTTGGCGATGATTATAACCCAAACACCGGGATTTTTACCGCTCCCTACAACGGCGTCTACAGCGTCACGGTTACAGCCTATCATGATGCCGGAGAGAACGAGAAATCCTGCGTGAGTGTGTATGTGAACGGTGTGAAGTATGCCACTGCTGAGGATAACCACTCCAACGACCACGAAGACACCATGACCATCACTTTTGCGAAATCGCTGAATGTCGGTGACCAGGTGGAGGTGAAAATGAGAAATGGCTGCATAATTTGCACAAAGAATGGTCGCTACAATGTTTACAGCGTCTTCTTGCTCTATGCTAATTGAAAATGATAACTTTAAGCCAAAAGAATACGCTGCAAAACAATGGTGGGCTTGAAGTAGTCTTGATTTGAGGTGACTTTAGTTTGACTTTTATTTAGTCATTGAAAAAACACTCAAATCAAGACACTTAAGTTTCTGCTCGATTCAAGGAAATATCAACTTTCTTCTGTACTTTTTTTGTTGTGTAATCTCTGAGAATAGCTCCAGACCAGATGAACCTGCTCAAACAAATCACCACTGTGTGCCAATGCTTGTAGAAATGAATATTGAGAATAAAGATGATGCAGTAAAATACTGAATGCGTTGGGGTTTTTTGTGGAAGGAAAATTTTAAAGCAATAAGAGGTTGTTCTGTAGCAATAAGAGGTTGTTCTACAGTTTCTTTCTGGATAATTAGAGAAATAAATGTTAATTGCCTCGTTTTTTAAGCTTTAATTTGCAGAGGATATTTACTGTCGTTTCACTGGTATTGGTGGATATTGAATACATCAAGGACACAAAATAGACTCTTTTGAGCTTTGAACAATGTTACTGTCTCCTTGTTTCCTCATCAAAAACAGACAAGGAGTTGTTTTTATTGATCTATCCACACTAATATCCGGAACTTCTGGCACAAACATGTAACTCCTCCCCTTCTGTCAAAAGTCTCAGTCCTGTAACAGTATTATGTCACTGTACCATATGACATCACACTCAAAACTAAAAAGTTGCCCATAAACAAACAAAAATAATTCTACACCTCCCATTGTTGGTAGCATTCATAGTCCCCACATGTTTTCTATACAGATATTTTTTCATATGACGAGCTATAACTCATTAGACAACAACAAATCCTAGGTACACTGTTGCTATCTCACAACATGTATTTCATGTAGGCTGTTATAATTTAAGATGATATAAATAACATGGTTTTTTCTGCTACGTTTAAATGTTGGAAATTTACACCTCAATATGTAGACCCTAAAAAACCCAAATAAAATACAGGGTTTTCACAAACTTTTGTTGACAATAAGTGCCAAAGTAACAAGATCCGGTCCACCTTTTGCATCGTATGACTGTAGACTGCAAAGTTCTTTTTCATTGATGTGTAAGGGGAAACTGAACAAAGTATATGTATTGATCAAATTTAATACAGATTACTCATCGTCATCGAGGATAGATAGATAGATAGATAGATAGATACTTTATTGATCCTGTTGGAGAATTTCAGGTGTCCAGTAGCAGCAAAAAAAACACATCCATCCACACAAACTTCAGGCCACAGCAGCAGAGATGGTCTAGCCTTTGGGTGGAGCAGGACGGGTCACAGCAGCAGAGATGGTCTAGCCTTTGGGTGGAGCAGGACGGGTCACAGCAGCAGAGAGGGTCTAGCCTTTGGGTGGAGCAGGGCGGGTCACAGCAGCAGAGGTAGAGTCGCTTGGTTCAGACCATTTTCTCTGCTCTTGTCCAAAGTAAAATGCTAAGTGCTTTGTTAGCATTTTTCAAAAAGTCAGCCTTCCTCCAGTGGATTTTTGCCTGATCCACTTGGTCTGCTCCAGTCTGGACCAGTGTAAATCCATGAACACTGTACTGCAGCACCAGGGGAGAGGATCAAACCTCAGATGCATAGTGCAAAAGAAAATCAATAGATGGTTTGCATTGCTTCTAAGATCATAATCACATGTTTGAACTGGTTAGCAGTGCTTCAAAGGTCATAAATACACATCCAAACTGGTTGCTTCTAAGGTCATAATTCTTTGAACTGGTTAGCAGTGCTTCTAGTAATCTAGTAGTAATTTGACTAAAGCAGACTTGGAGATGATCTTCCACGCATTTGTCTCGAGTCGGTTAGACTACTGTGACAGCATGCTCACTGGTCTCTCCAAAACAGCTCTGAGGAGCACAAGGACTGACCTCCTGCTGGGACTCTGAGGAGCACAGGGACTGACCTCCTGCTGGGACTCTGAGGAGCACAGGGACTGACCTCCTGCTGGGACTCTGAGGAGCACAGGGACTGACCTCCTGCTGGGACTCTGAGGAGCACAGGGACTGACCTCCTGCTGGGACTCTGAGGAGCACAAGGACTTACCTCCTGCTGGGATTCTGAGGAGCACAAGGACTTACCTCCTGCTGGGATTCTGAGGAGCACAAGGACTGACCTCCTGCTGGGACTCTGAGGAGCACAAGGACTTACCTCCTGCTGGGATTCTGAGGAGCACAAGGACTTACCTGCTGCTGGGATTCTGAGGAGCACAAGGACTGACCTCCTGCTGGGACTCTGAGGAGCACAAGGACTGACCTCCTGCTGGGACTCTGAGGAGCACAGGGACTAACCTCCTGCTGGGACTCTGAGGAGCACAGGGACTGGCCTCCTGCTGTGACTCTGAGGAGCACAGGGACTAACCTCCTGCTGGGACTCTGAGGAGCACAAGGACTGACCTCCTGCTGGGACTCTGAGGAGCACAAGGACTGACCTCCTGCTGGGACTCTGAGGAGCACAGGGACTGACCTCCTGCTGGGACTCTGAGGAGCACAGGGACTGACCTCCTGCTGGGACTCTGAGGAGCACAGGGACTGACCTCCTGCTGGGACTCTGAGGAGCACAGGGACTGACCTCCTGCTGGGACTCTGAGGAGCACAAGGACTTACCTCCTGCTGGGATTCTGAGGAGCACAAGGACTTACCTCCTGCTGGGATTCTGAGGAGCACAAGGACTGACCTCCTGCTGGGACTCTGAGGAGCACAAGGACTTACCTCCTGCTGGGATTCTGAGGAGCACAAGGACTTACCTGCTGCTGGGATTCTGAGGAGCACAAGGACTGACCTCCTGCTGGGACTCTGAGGAGCACAAGGACTGACCTCCTGCTGGGACTCTGAGGAGCACAGGGACTAACCTCCTGCTGGGACTCTGAGGAGCACAGGGACTGGCCTCCTGCTGTGACTCTGAGGAGCACAGGGACTAACCTCCTGCTGGGACTCTGAGGAGCACAAGGACTGACCTCCTGCTGGGACTCTGAGGAGCACAGGGACTGACCTCCTGCTGGGACTCTGAGGAGCACAGGGACTGACCTCCTGCTGGTACTCTGAGGAGCACAGGGACTGACCTCCTGCTGGGACTCTGAGGAGCACAGGGACTTACCTCCTGCTGTGATTCTGAGGAGCACAAGGACTGACCTCCTGCTGGGACTCTGAGGAGCACAAGGACTGACCTCCTGCTGGGACTCTGAGGAGCACAAGGACTGACCTTCTGCTGGGACTCTGAGGAGCACAGGGACTGACCTCCTGCTGGGACTCTGAGGAGCACAGGGACTGACCTCCTGCTGGGACTCTGAGGAGCACAGGGATTCTGAGGAGCACAAGGACTTACCTCCTGCTGGGATTCTGAGGAGCACAAGGACTGACCTCCTGCTGGGACTCTGAGGAGCACAAGGACTGACCTCCTGCTGGGACTCTGAGGAGCACAGGGACTAACCTCCTGCTGGGACTCTGAGGAGCACAGGGACTGGCCTCCTGCTGTGACTCTGAGGAGCACAGGGACTAACCTCCTGCTGGGACTCTGAGGAGCACAGGGACTGGCCTCCTCCAAGGACTCTCATGCCCTAAACATGGGGAGTCAGCATTTCAGAAACATGGAGGGATCATCACAACACAGAAAGTATAATAAGTAACTTTAAAGGGTGCAGAATCTGACACATTTATTTTATCCAGCTATGACTTTTGGTGATATACTGCAATTTTGACAACGTGCATTTATGCAACAGTTGTTACATTGGTCTTGTATTGTATAGTTGTAATCTATACTATTGTTAGTATTAGATAGCAATATGGCCTACGTGCAGGACTGTACAAGGACTCTACAAGGACTCCATGTTATGACTATGATGTGACTGTCTCTTTGTGACACGTATGTCTTTCCATGTGTGACGTGACAATGACTATATAAACTGTGTACTGCCTTTATTCTGTCTGAGAGAAAGAAACAAAGTAAACCATTGGAACTTGAGAGAAACTTAAATAAACTTCCAGAGTTTGGCGCACCACGATCCGTCTCTGTCTGCTGAATTCTGACGGATTTGGTGGAGAATGCGCGGCTCAGTGTGTGCCATTCTCTGGATTGTTTTGAGGGAGTTTCCTTTGTTTCTTTTTTCGGCGTGTGGGAGCAACAGCACGTTATCTGGAAGGGGAGAAATCCCAGCGGACGCTGAAAGGGCTCGCTTTTGGATGGGCTTGCTCTTGCTCCCTCACTTTCTCTGTTTTGTGTTTAAATTGAATTTTTAGACGCGGAAAAGATGTTGGTCGACACCTTTTTTAATATGTAAAGTCTGCATAATTGGATACTAGCTAAATTTTGAGCTGTCCCGGAGGTCTGTCCAAATCTCTCTAAATCAAATTTTCTTTGTTTTGTCTTTGTCACGTCTTTGTCATGTCTTATGTTGTAGAAAACAGGTTAGCTGTGTGGGTAACCAGTCCCTATAGGAAAAAAAGAACCCCTTGACGTATCGGGGTCCCTGTCCTTTGAAGTAGTCAGGGCAGAGAAAGAGTAATTACAGGGTAGAGGCCCTTTTTTGAGTAATTACCGGGGTAGAGGCCCCTTGAGAAAAAGAGTAATTACAGGGTAGAGGCCCTTTCTTGAGTAATTACCGGGGTAGAGGCCCCTTGAGAAGAGAAAAAGAGTAATTACAGGGTAGAGGCCCTTTTTTGAGTAATTACCGGGGTAGAGGCCCCTTGCTAGCCAGAGAAAAGTGTTGGATCCAAAAGTGAAACCATGGTGTAAAAATAAAAGCAATAAAAAGGGAAACGTGTTAAGGAGGCTTTTTTCACAAAAAGTTTTGTAATTAAAAGACAACTCACCCTCAAATCCACTTTTTTTTGCTGATAAACGGTATAAATGAGTGTCCAATAGTGTTGTCTACATATCCTGGTCATG